GTCCGGTTACCTCCCGGGCCGACACCTTGTTCACCGCGGCAGATTGATATCGCGCGCGCGTCCGCGTGAACGGTGCTAACCTCAGGTTTTGACTACCGTACCACATGCGCGCGCATGATTGGAATGCGCCCGGCCGCCGCCATAAGGGCAGAACGGGCCGGCGGCCGCGCAGCCGCCTGGCCCCGCATGCGGCCGCGTCAGCGCGTTCCGCGGTAATCCTCGAGCCGATAAAACCTGCAAATCCTGCGGTCGTTCTCACTCAAGGTGCATTTCGACGATGAACTTCGAAGATCTTGACTCAAGGTACCATTGAATCCCAAAGAAAGTTCGATGTCGAAGAGATAGACCTTGTCGGACCTGCAGGTCAACTGCTCGCTAGGAGATTCAAATTTGGAACTTGGAGCAAGCTGCAAAAGGCGCTAGGAGTACCTAGGACAGCCAGCAGCTGAGCAGGGCACTTTGGCGCGGCGCCCATTGACCCTTGCAAGGTCTGCAAGGAGAGGTTGTGCACAAAAACAAAAGGGTTCTTGCTTGATCATTCCCTCATCTGAGTACAATTGATCAGGTAGGTAAAGCTGGCTGCTGGACAGATCAAGTCCTGGTGAAAAGGAGTCACTGCAAGGGCGCCACTGAGGCATTAACGGCAGAGGTACGTGTCATATGTGTACAAATGGAAGGGCCTGGCAACTGCATCAGTCCAGCTATCGGCGTTCTTACTTTCAGAGCTTTTCTCAAGGTCTGCCAGTAGGCTGACTAGGTACAATGATTGGCTGTTGGCGCGGGTCTGCGTGTAGAAAGACCCATCAGCGTTACGTGACGAGCGTACTCTGTTACATGAGCGTTTGAGGATGTTGCGGATGAAAAACCTAGCCACTAGATTGGAGGAGGTGACCTATATATGATGCACAATGAACGCAGTCATCCGTGCTGCAGGCTAGCGCTGCTTAAGGCAACGATTTACGATTTTACGCTGTTAACCGATCCCATATGCTGAGTCAAGGTAGCCAAAGGCTGCCTCTCCTTCCCTCCTTGAACTACATGGTCAGCGACCAAAGTTTCTTTGAGATGCCTCCATATGCTCTGCTACCTGGCTGTGTCAAGCATCTTGTATCCTGTTCTAATCTTCCATACCTTGTGGATGCAGCATTCCACATTCAAGCAGCATATCAGACTTGAAAGATGGATTTTGATTATGAGGAGCAAGAGAATGTGGTGCCCATCAAAGCAGCAAAGGTAGGTGGCGGTACTTGATGGCAATTGCAAGAATACCTCATAACGGGGTTTGGAACGCTGTGTGTTCAACCCTTGCCTTCTGAGAAGCATGCGTCCAAATGCCGCGGTTGCTTCTTGCAAATGCTAGCACACAGCTGTCGAACTGGTTGCTTTTGATCTGTAGTGCAACTCTTGAGTTATTTCCCACAACTGTCTTCTAAGAGCAGGGCGTCGTCTGCCTCTCTCCGTCTTGTTTCAGCAGGCTGGCTCTTGCTGACAATACCACTACCTGACTCTCCTATGCAGGCCGCAAAAGCAAAAGCTGCAAAGCCCAGCAATGGGCCTCCACTCCAAAGCATCTCCGCTCACAACGTTAACCAGGAGAAGACCATTGAGGCAACCTACCAGAAGAAGACGCAATTGGAACATATCCTATTGCGGCCGGACACTTATGTCGGCTCAGTGGAGCAGCACACGCAAAATCTGTGGGTTTATGAGCATGGGGAGCTGGCATTGAGAGATGTCAAGTTTGTGCCTGGGTAAGTGGCGCAAACAGAGGTCCTCCCAGTTGAACTCAGTGCCCAGGACGACTTTTCTATAGCATTGCAGTGCTCCTCAGCTTGAGAACAGTGCTGAAAGTTGGTCCTGCTGCATGTTATGGCTGCGGATTAGCACAGTACCTGGCTGCCTTTGAGTTGCTGTTGGGAATGCGGTGGGGCATGCAAGGATTGCATTGCTACTCGCAGTTCCGAAATGAATTTTAGGACTCAGCTGACAGAGTATCTTGTGCACCCATCCTGAGCCGCAAAGAGCCAAGAGCAAATCGTTCTGCTGCTGCAGCAGATTGCATGTGTCACCAGGAAATGCCAGGTGCGTACGCAACACGTAGAACCACATCGAAGACCCCTGCAATGCCCCATCCATGCTGTGAATGAGACGATGCCGGACAAGCTCTGCAGCACAAAATCAATTTCTGCCAAAGCATCTCGTGTACTCTCCGTCTTTTGCAGGCTGTACAAGATCTTTGATGAGATCCTGGTGAACGCCGCAGACAACAAGCAGCGGGACTCCAGCATGGACTCGCTCAAGGTCACCATCGATCCTGAGAGCAACACTATCAGCGTGTACAACAACGGAGCGGGCCTGCCGGTCGAGGTTCACGCCGAGGAAGGCGTCTACGTGCCTGAGCTGGTCTTTGGGCATCTGCTCACAAGCAGCAACTACGACGACTCTCAGAAGAAGACCACGGGCGGCAGGAATGGGTATGGAGCGAAGCTGACCAACATTTTCTCCACCGAGTTTGTGATTGAGACGGCGGATGGGGCGAGGGGCCGCAAGTACAAGCAGGTGAGAAATGGGTGTGTTTGCTGATGCTCGGAGTCTGTGCTGGGCCAAGTTGGATTTTCCGCAAGGCAAGTGCCTTTTCATGAAAGATGCTAAACGATTGTGTTGTTGATTGAAGGCAAGGGAAGTAAAAGCAAGTCTACTGCTTCGTAAGAAGGGAAGCATTGCTTCCTGTTGCTTGGAAATCGAAGCTTAGGCTCCGGCAGTCGCTGATTCGGCCCTAGTTTGCTCCTGGTGCTAAAGGGCTCTATACGCCATGCTGACACGGTGAGGCACCTCAAATTCCTCAGGTCTCATCCTCGAAAATCAGATCCTGTATTTTGGTCTACCCCAGGTCTTCTCAAACAACATGGGCGTGAAGGGCAAGCCAGAGATCAAGAGCTGCAAGCCAACCGACAACTGGACACGGGTCACATTCAAGCCGGACCTCTCTAAGTTCAACATGGACCATCTAGAAGCTGACGTTGTTGCGTTGATGAGCAAGCGTGTTTGTGACATGGCCGGGTGTCTCGGCAAGACGGTCAAGGTGAGCTTTATGACCCATGTGTAGCCTTAGTTTGGTAGCATACATTCGTGGAGCAGCGTATGCCAACAAAGCGGCAGGCACAAGATGGGTGCATTTGCATACAGCCAGGGACTTGGTCAACAAAACTTTTCGTGGTCTCTGTTTTGCAGGCACAAACCTGGTCTGATGACCACCTTTTTTCAACTTAATGTCTTATTGAGAATGAGACAGCTTTTCCTCAAAGCTGCCAGTCCATTTCTTCCTTGCGATTTAATTCATGCACAACGAGAAGACGTGCACTTCGAAGACGTGGTCGCATTTCCTCAAAGAACGACCCTTTTCTGTGAGACAAACAGCTGCTGATTCTTTGCAGCTCAAAGAAAGGCCTTCTTCTATCCGAGACAATCAGCTTTTGTATCTCTCGAGATCCTTCTCTGGGATAGGCATAGTGAGCTCAAGTCAGAATGAGAACGAAGCTAACACTAAAAACATAAACCCAAAGAATCACCTGCTCCACATCCGTACCCACCCTAACCCCCATACTAATCCCACCCGTCCCAGTACCATAAGTCGAGCTTACCATACCTTTCTAGTTCTCTCAAGAGTTGCATATGCCTGTCTCTGCCTGTGCAGGTGGAGCTGAACGGGAGCAGGCTTCCGATCAAGGACTTCAGCGACTACGTCAACATGTTTATGCGGCCAACCAACAATGCGAGGAAGGAGCAGGGCCAGCCCGAGCTGGACCGCTTCTACCACAAGACTGACCGCTGGGAAGTGGTAGTGTCCCAGAGCGGGGGGCAGTTCCAGCAGGCAAGTTCACTCCATGGATTCTATTGCACCCGACCAATTTGGCCAGCGTTCTGATTGAGGGGAAGATTGATGTTTTGAGCGAGACAGTGCGTAAGAAAGGCATTGGCTCCCATTGAAAACACGTTGATCTGTGAGCGAGTGCATACTAGAAAGCTGGAGGAGTTAGCTTTGAACGAGACTCGAAGCCTCAACAAGCTAGATATTATGTCGGCTCTTACAGCACCTGTCGAACCAGCTCTTTACCAAGATTTGGTTCCCCGCAGGACTACGTCGTAAGTATAAAGAATCTGTGGTATTAGACCCTGACTTTCAGACCGAGACGCCAGCTGAGCCCGGGAACCAGCTCTGAACCAGGCTATCAACCCGGTTTCTGCTCCTTACAGGTCAGCTTCGTGAACAGCATCTGCACGACGAAGGGAGGCTCCCATGTGAACTACGTCACGGACCAGGTCGTGAACCACGTGATGGACTGGATCAAGAACAGCAAGAAGAAGGACGTCAAGTCCGCGGGCGTCAAGAACTTTCACGTGAAGAACCACCTGTGGGTGTTTGTCAACGCGCTCGTCGACAACCCCGCGTTCGACTCGCAAACCAAGGAGACGCTCACGACTCGCCAGGCGCAGTTCGGGTCCACGTGTCAGTTGCCGGAGAAGATCCTCAAGAACGGTGAGCGGCGAGAAGCTTGCTGGAGGGCCTCCTGAAAGCACTGCGCTGGTTCAATCGTAGGACTTGGTTATGGACTGGAAATAGACGATCAAAAACAGGGATTTCGAACTTCTTGTCCGAGACATCCCACGAAGCTACTCCTGGTTTGGGTAGGTGTGCTTGCCGCTACGAGTTTCTATGAAGTGGCAAACGAGAACAATTTGAATCGCTCTGGTTTGATTTATACGCCAACCTGCACCCTCTTTCCGTTTCATTTCCCTGTCAGAGACCAGTTGCAAAGAAATGAGACGCTTCTCAAAGAGCACAGCCATGAATCTCAAAATAGCCACGCTTTCTGCCATAGCGCCCCTCGGACATCTCCACCAGATCCCAGATACTTCGACCCCTTGCCGCACTTTTCCGTCCAAATTGGGGAACTCGGACATTAAGCACTCGGCGCTGTCCGTGGCGTCCCCGGAGGACCTGAAGAAGACGGACGGCGCCAAGCCCAGCTAGTGTTCAGTCCTGCATGAGATTAGAAAGCTTCGGAGTCCTCCATGCTTCATACAAAGCCCACTCTCCGACCATCAAATCAACTTTTTTGCCCCTTGTCTCTAATGGAGAAGTCGGACATCGTGCACGTGGCGCTGTCCGTAGCGAAGCCAAGCCCAGGTCAAAGTCAATCCTTCATGTCAACGAGATTTCAAAAGTTCCCACGTTTCATGCGAAAGCCGCTCTTCAAACCCGCTTTCTGTTGCCCCGTGTCCGCAGTTGTGAACTCGGACATCGTGCATGCGGCGCTGTCCGTGGCGTCCGCGAAGCTGCAGAAGGACCTCAAGAAGACGGACGGCGCGAAACGCACGCGCCTGGTGGGCATCCAGAAGCTGGACGACGCCAACGACGCAGGCGGCAGATACTCCGCGGACTGCACGCTCATCCTCACCGAGGGCGACTCCGCCAAGACCCTTGCGGTAAGATTGCTCAGTGCGAAGTCGGATCTCAAATTGCATCTGAGCATCGCTGGTAGATGATCTCTGCTCATGTTCGATAACATGCGAGGGGGTTTCTTTGTGCTCCCTTGTGCATCGGATAAAGACGTCGAGGAACGTGTCACTTTTCTTTGGCCAGAGTGCAAGACTTATGAAACTTGTCCAGAGTCTTCCTTCAAGAACTTGTCAATCTAGACAAGAGCTCCGTCAGTCCAAGCTCAAACCAAAGGGAGGTCAACCTATCCCCCGCTCGTCCCTGCCGGGCTGCGCGAATGAGCCAAGAACTTTCTGCCTGTCTTCCACGTTTGCCGCTCAAGGAAACCTTCACAAACCCCTCAAAAGTGCCACAAGTTCCACTCGGTGACTAGGATCGAAGTTCTCCTTCACTCGCTGTTTTACAGGTGAGCGGGCTGGGCGTGGTTGGGCGCGACAAGTACGGCGTGTTCCCGCTGCGCGGCAAGCTGCTGAACGTGCGCGACGCGAGCACGAAGCAGATCACGGACAACGCGGAGATCAGCCTGATCAAGCAGATCATGGGCCTGCAGCACGGCAAGGTCTACGAGGACACCAAGGCGCTGCGCTACGGCCACCTCATGATCATGACCGACCAGGTGGGGACCATTTTTTCTAGTATTAGTCCATCCTTTTGTGCTTGAGTACGTTTTTTTCCGATGAGAATTCTCGGAGGAGGAAGACAGGCTGGGGGCGATGTTTTACGGGCTTCGGTGCAATAGACGGGAATATTCAAGGGTATCGAGCAGGGAGCCACCAGGGCGGTCACTTCGTTTGCCCGTCTTGTCTTTGGTGGCGATTCAGTAAGGATGCGTCTGTCTTGAGCGATTTGTGCGAATCAGAGGCGCTCTGCGAATGCAGCCTACTCAGAGTCATCACATTCCATCCGTCCTTTGGGTAGGGTTCTCAGTAGCAACCGACGACAAATCCTCCTTTGGTCTTGCCACGCAAAAAACTGCAGGAATGCGTCAGGTGACTTTGTTGAGCAGCCATTCTGCCCTGGCGATTATACCTCTCAACTCTGTGCTGGTACCATTACTTGGGTCACTCTTTCATTGAACCCTGGCAAAATTGCAATACATGCAGGACCACGACGGGTCGCATATTAAGGGCCTCCTCATCAACTTCTTGCACTCCTTCTGGCCGTCGCTGCTCAAGATCCCGGGCTTCCTCCTCGAGTTCATCACGCCCATCGTCAAGGTAAGACTTTCAGCCCTCAATTTGAAGAATGTCTCTTTGGTGAGCCCCAGGAGCTTTGCTTGCTCAAAAAGGGTTTGTCTCCAGAAGGTTCTTCCGCAATACTCCAGCTTGGCGGTTTTCACTCGGTTCTTGGATCTAGAATGTGGTTCAAGAAGTGCGGTCGCATACGAAGCATACAGAGTTGGATGTTGTCCGTGTCGATATTCTCTCGGCAGGAGGCGTCAGTGGTTCCAGCCTCTGGCGTCTGACTTCACGCTGACGTCATTGTTCCTCGCAGGCGACCCACGGAAACCAGAAGCTGTCGTTCTACACCATCCCCGAGTACGAGAGCTGGAAGGAGTCCCTGGGCCCGGCCGCCAAAAACTGGAGCATCAAGTACTACAAAGTAAGCCGAGGCGAAGACGTCCTGGAATACACACAGAGCAACTTTCGTTGAGTTGACATCGGTGTGTCCAAGTCATCAGCAGAATGGGACGAGTCTACCTACATTCTCCTACCAAAGAGAATCGTGGTCTCCTGATTGTACAGGTCCGACCATTTGCCGCTCCAAGGGCGCAAGTTTTGCATTATCGCAGGGTATCTATTTGTAGGTTTGAGCGTTAGTATTTGAAATCGAGATGGTTCACGTTGAGGAGCGACCTGCTCTGCATCATTACCCAAAAGCTCCCCAACCCCTACCCACCCTGTGCGGGTAACGATGAACTGCGTTTACGACATTCCTTGCGATCGAGTCGAGCAGAACTAAGCTGACCCCGCGGGTTCTGCTCTTTTCTGAGTCTGCGCTTTAAAAGACCAGAAATCCAATTACAACATTAAACAGGAAAGGCAGGATCTTCAAACGTTCTGCTTCTGTGCAGGGTCTTGGTACATCCACCCCGTTGGAGGCGAAAGAGTACTTTGCGGACCTTGACATGCACCAGAAGGAGTTCCGTTGGACCGGAGAGCAGGACGGCGACTGCATCGAGCTGGCCTTCAGCAAGAAGAAGATTGAGGCGCGCAAGGCCTGGCTCTCCAACTGCGAGGTGAGGATGCACGCTGAGCTGAAACTCTGAGCTTGATCGAAGATGTTAGTGAGAGGGGTTCTGGTGTATGTTCAGTGAAGCATTCTGGCCCGATGGAACAGATAAGACGCCGTCGGTCAGCCTGATTGTTAAACTGGTTCTCCTGGCCTTTCAACCCTCCATTCAACGATTCGAGCGCCTTCGGCCGGCACTTCATAGAATAAAAGCTTGCTCCTCCTTCAAACGCGGATGGGCAGGGACTCAAAGAAGAGCTGCCTGCAGCTAAGCACAGTTTCACACCAAAGAGTGATTGTTGCCTGTACGAAGTGATTTTCAAGCTTTCCATCACCCAATGAACAGCTGGGTCGTGTGTCTTTTTGCAGCCGGGCACGTTCCTGGACCAGAGCGTGGACGTCATCCCGTACCACGACTTCGTGAACAAGGAGCTCATCCTGTTCTCCATGGCCGACCTGGCCCGCTCCATCCCTTCCGCCGTCGACGGGTTCAAGCCGGGCCAGCGGAAGATCCTCTTCGGCTGCTTCAAGCACAAGGTCAAAAAGTCGGTCAAGGTAAGGGCCCTGGGCGTTCGATTCCTAGATTTTCTGGCTCGAAAGCGCTTCTTTCTCGTAAGCGCCCATGATGTATAAGCAAGGAGCCGTCCTATTCGTGAAACCCTCGGTTGAAGAACCCAGTTGCAAGCGCGTGTGACACGGACGAGCCTGATGGGCTTTTCACTCTCTGTTTAAGGGAGAGGCGCCTTTGTTCTGGCAGAATGACCACTCGAATCACTCTCTGGAGCAGTCTTGGTAAGTTGCGCAGACAGTCGAAACCATCTCCCGCCTACTGTTCTTCGAAATAGGCTTCATTGCAAAACACACTCAAAACTGTCGAACAACTCGCTTCTCAAAAGAGTAGAACCTGACTCTCTCCCCGCAAGCGGTACCTGGAGGGCAGCAGTGAGTCCCTTCACGATACCTCATTCTGACGCTGTAGCATCTAAGGCAGTCCAAGAGTCAAGGTATCAAGAAAGCCTCACTGCTGAAACCGAGACCGAATCAAACTCAGAGGCTTGACACTTGATTCTCCGCTCTCGTTGTCAGGTGGGCATCAAAGATCTTGCAGGGCAAGTACAAGAATGGAGATCAACTTCAATTCATTCAAGGCAGAGCACCGTCAGCTCCTACTTGCTGAACACAACCCCAAACTACCGTCGTGTCAGAGCCTTACTTCTTGAGTGAGGGTCTTAATTTCTGCTGTTTCTGGCAGGTGGGCATTTTGCAGGGCATCATCAGCTCGAGCACGGCGTACCACCACGGCGACACCAGCCTGCAGGCGACCATCATCGGCATGGCGCAAAACTTTGTGGGCAGCCAGAACATCAACGTGCTCAACCCGGAGGGCATGTTCGGCTCCAGGCTCATGGTGCGTGCGCGCAGATGCACCCTGTATGGCTTTTCTTAGTCTATTCGGGGAAGTTGTCTTTCTGAGGAAATCACTGTCGCTTCGATGCATTGGCATGGCGCAGACTTTCCGTGGGCCGTCAGCGTGCTCGAAGCGGAGGGCATGCTCTGCTCACGGTTCATCGTGCGCCTCACACGCAGACGCAATCTATTTGATTTTTGGATCTTTACTTTGTTTGTGAAAATTCTCGTCTGACAAAAATTCGAGGACTCTACATCCATATGTAGAGCGGGCTTTCTCATGCATGTAACCGCTTACCACGGTCGCGAGTATGACTGTACGTCAAGCACTCCTGACTTCACCATGTGTGGGTGCGGGCTTGTTCTGATCTGGAGCTACAACCTCCTATTCTGAGCATCCGAGATGTCTTCCGTGTTCACTCCTCCAGCCCGTTAAACAAGGCGTCGTGAATCTCCATCGCACATCCTGTAAAGTTCTCAAGAAGCGCACGAATGGAACCGGTAGGGCACGCAAGTGAAAAAGATGCAAGCTGTACGCGGAGTTGTTACTTGATCGCTCTTAGTCCTTTGCAGGGCGGCAAGGACGCCTCTCAGCCGCGGTACATCTCGACCCGGTTGGAGAAGGTCGCGCGCGCGATCTTCCCGCAGCTGGACGACAACGTGCTGACGTACCTGGATGACGACGGCCTCTCCATAGAGCCGCAGTGGTGCGTTTCTGGCCTTATTCTCCTTGACGTCAGGATTGCATCCCCTCTTTCAGGCGCCGTGCTTTGGCGTTGGTTTGCAAGTGCCTAGCTGCGTCTCCCTCAATGACATCACGAAGCTTGAGATAGTCTGGAGTGACTCTTAGAGTCGCTGCCTTCAGACCTAAGGTAAGTCCCCGCTTGCTTTCGGCAGCCACAGTCATTCAGAGCTCCCACCGTCTTTGTCCTTGCGCGTCTTCAGTGACGGAACCCCTGCCGACGCCACAGACTCCGCTTTCAGCATTTTCGGAACATGCAATCCAGTTGGAGTAAAAATTTTGAGCTCACAATCTGTAAAATGTTCAGGGCCTAATGAAGTACGCGAACCCAATTCTCCTCTGCCAGGAGCCGACCTCTTATTTCTCCGCCCTCTTCTCTCCTGACAAGCAGCCGTCTCCCCTTGAGACCTTTCCGTCGGGACCTTTACTTTTAGTTCAGAAAGTACAAGAGTTCTTAAACTCTCCGCTCCTTCGCCTAGGTACGTGCCCATTCTTCCGATGGTGCTGGTCAACGGCAGCGAGGGCATCGGCACCGGGTGGAGCAGCTTCGTGCCGCAGTACAACCCGCGCGAGATCGCGGAGAACATCAAGCGCATGCTGGACGGCCAGGAGCCGACGCCCATGACGCCCTGGTACCGGGGATTCACGGTGAGGCCCTTGCAAGGAAAAAGAAGATGGACAAATCTGGTGATGGAGTGTGCTTTTCATACCTTGAGCAAAGGAGTTGGGGCCAGATTTGCAGCGTTCGGAGGCTCTGGCAAGGCACTTTGGATACTGTGAAGTTGGCTTGAGTAGTGCTAATTTCCTCCAGCCCTGCCATTTCTCCATTTCCGAGCTCGTGGTCAGTCTGGGACTCTGGAATCTGCTTGCGGGACGTCGTATAAGTGGACGCGAGTTGCTCCACGCAGACTGGATGGGACGGAACCTGCAAGGTCGAAAATCTGCAAAAAATGTTCCGGTTTGGAAGAATGTCACAAGGTCGAGGCCTTCTTCCCGGTCATGACCAATTCAACCGGAAGACTCCGCTCAGCAGCGCAGAACAACACACCAACAGCTCCTGCTCCTTTCTTCAGGGCACGATCGAGAAGAACGGCGACAAGTCGTACACGCTCAGCGGGCGCATCAGCAAGGTGGACGACACGACCCTGGAGATCACGGAGCTTCCGGTGCGGCGGTGGAGCACGGACTACAAGGAGTTCCTCGAGGGCCTGCTCACCGGCGGGGAGAAGAACGAGCAGCCCTTCATCAAGGTCAGGGCACAAGGACAGCTTGTCGCAATTGTTCGTGTTTGTGCTCGGTTTTAAGAGAGTTGCAGATGGTGACGTCATCTGCGCGAGCTTTGCGAGAAAAGAGCTAAGCTGGTCCAGGTCAGAGAGGCACCCCTTACAGGAACAAGAATCTTTGGTGCAGTTCTACTGGCTTGCGAAATATCTTTGTGATTCTCTTCGATTCCTGTGGAACGAGTGGGCATCGATTCCTTGCTCCTCAACAAAGCTGTTGGGAGGACAATCGTTGAAAGAACTCATGCCTGGTCGCCAAACGCTCCGTAAAAGGACCGTAAGCGTACGCGATGTCGTGGATAATATTGGGAAAGGACGAGCTTTGACGATCTTCTGGTTGTTGACTCTAGACCAAGCTTTCGGTGCTGACGTGGCTTACATTGCATTTGCTGCCCCGCAGGACTACCGCGACAACGGCGGCGACTTCAAAGTCCAGTTCACGGTGCAGCTAAGCGAGGAGCGGATGAAGGAGGCGGAGGCGGCGGGGCTGCTGAAGAAGTTCAAGCTGACCACCACCGTCAGCACCAGCAACATGCACCTCTTCAACAGCAAGGGCAAGATCACCAAGTACGACACGCCCGAGCAGAGTGAGAAAGCGCCAATCTCTTGAGTTCCATTCTTTTCTTTGGAACTCTCCGGGCAGGGAGCTTATACTTGACGGCAGCGGTCATTTTGGGGTTGCGGGAGTGTGAGGATCAGGAGTTGATTTTTGTGCGAAGAGAGCTGGCAAGGAAAGATGGGCATGTCTTATTCAAAGCGTGTGTCCTTGTGGACTCTTGAGTGATGTTTACAGACAGCAACTTTTGGCATCCGCTAAAACGCAGACTCTGTCTTGCAGTTCTGGCCGACTTCTTCCCCCTGCGCCTCGAGTACTACAAGAAGCGGAAGGTGAGGCGAACCCTGTCTGATCCGTTTTGGTCAACCTGGAATTCCAGAGGCTTCCTTTTGGGCATCTAATCTACGGTGCGCTCAGAGTACACGGCCGACTCTGGTGATGTCACATCCTTCCGTGTCCGCATCTGTGAGTTTGTTTCATCCAGAACGGAACTGCAGCACCTGGCCCGTCAAAGTACTCGCTAATCTCGGGCCTCGGCCATGAAGAACCTTTCCAGCCCCTAGCCAGTTGGGCCCCGGTCCCAGTAATCTCTCTTATGGTGGGCGTCGGACATGCATGTCCATTCCAGACAATCTGCGGTGCTGGAAGCTAGATTCGCTGAACTTTGGATCTGCTTTCCGTCCAAAAAGGCCCAACCTTTTTGTAGATTCCATACCTTCGATTCCGACGCCAGTCTGAGAATTTCAAAATCACTCCTCCGATCCGTCCCCAGGCGTACATGATGGAGGACGCGCGCTTCGAGGTGCGCAAGATCAGCAACCGCGTGCGCTTCATCCTGGACGTCGTCGAGAAGCGGCTCGAGGTGCGCAACCGCAAGAAGGCCGACCTCGTCGCGGAGCTCGCGCACAAAGGCTTTGACGCCATGCCCAAAGCGCGCATGAAGCGCGCGCACGTCGCGCAGCCGGCCGCGGAGGACGGGGATTCCGATGGCGAGGGCGCGGACGCGGCCGCGAAGGCGCCCGACGGCGCGAGCTACGACTACCTGCTGTCGATGCCGCTGTGGACGCTGACGGCGGAGCGGGTGAGGGGGCGGTTCCGGCGCGGAATGCGATCGGAACGTGTGCTTTTCTTATTGTCTTGACATTATTGGCTGGTCTTGAAGTACTAAAACAGAGGGGCTTTTACTGAGCGCTGAGACAGGAATTGTGAAAGAGGAGATGCTAAGCGAGAGGGGCGGACCGTGACGATTCTCCTTTGAAAGGTCGCCAGCAACTTGTGCTAAGTTTCTGATGTGAAGTGAAGCAGTATTCCGCTTGAGATTGATACGGAGCCCTGGCAATGTTTTTGGTTATCCACATCTGCGACCTGAGAAGTCAGAAAGGTGTGATGCTTTTCATGAGGAAGCAACGGTCCTGAACAAGTTTCTACAGCCTTTCCCGCACAAAACTCACTGAAGCTTTCTAACATAGCTTCGTTTTTAACCACTCGCTAGTGCTCCGCAGGTGCAAGACCTGCTGCGGACGAAGCAGGAGGAGGAGACCAAGCTGGCCGACCTGGAGGGCCTGCCCGAGGCGACCATGTGGCGGACCGATCTCGACTACTTCCTCCAAGTGCTCGACGTGAGCAGACTGCCGAGTGACCGTGTTTTGGTCGGAAGGTTAAAGTGCGTTTGTCGTCAGAGGAACTATGGTTCGGTTGGTCGGTTGGATAGTCAAAGTCGGTTGTTTGCTGGAGCAAGTCCGTTTTGGTTGGTCGGGTTGGAGATTATAATCGTTTTTGTCTGAAAAGTACGTTTTGGTTGGTCGGTTGGAAAGTTCAAATCGCGTGATTGGCAAGAGAAGCCGCTCAATTAGCACTTTGTGGAAGGGTGCCATGGCATCCACTATCAAACTTTGTGGAGCCGCCCTCAGTAACTAGCACTGTTACGCAAAGTATCAACAAGTCGAGAACGACTAAAACCGATATCATGCACACGGGGCGGAATGACCGGAACCGGAACGGAACGGAATGCTTGTGTGAGCGCAGGAGAAGGACGTGGAGGACGCGGAGCAGGCGGCGTCCCACATGAAGAACGCGGCCAAGGGGAACAAGAGCCGAAAAGGCGCCGGCAAGCCGGGCAAGGCGGCGGGCAAGAAGAAGAAGAAGGGCGACGACTCAGGGGAAGAGAGCGACGACGAGTATACCGGAGAGAAGAGTGAGCGCGCCTCTGCGCTCGTATTCGTTTATTAGTCTGTGTGCAGTGATGAATTGAGCTTACGCAGAGCGCAGTCGGCCGCTTTCGTTGCTTTGTCAGCACTACCTTCGCTAGCTTGCTAAGATCCGCGGTCAGTGCTCGTGCTGTGGGCTAAGCTGTGGAAGAAGGCTGCGGCAGAAGTAAGCGAGTACGGGTGCGACACTGGCGCTGAGGAGTGACGTCTCCGTGGATCACGGCCACGTCATCTCTGACGTCCTGCGAGTGGGACTATTGCAGAAAAGGTGGTGAAGCGCCCGCCGGCGGCCCCAAAGCCGAAGCCTGCCGCTTCGGCCTCCACCCAGCTGAAGCCCTCCACGTCAGCCAGCACGGTAAGCTGACAACAAGCCGAATCTACTTTCCCTGAAATGGAGTCGGAACGTGGACCTCAGATACTGGTTGTGGTTGGAGCGAAGTTGGGATTGGCTGCTGTCGCCCAAAGTTGCTGCAAAGAGCCGGCGTGCCAGGGGCATCGTAAGATACGGCATTGAAGACGGCCAAACAGCATATGACTAGATACTTTCGTCTCGCTAAATGGCTCCATTTCAAGGACCCCAAGGCATCAGTGCGCTGGACCACGTTTCAAGCGCCATCTTATGCAATCTTGGTTGGCAGCTGTCACAGCTTGCGCGACTTACTGCGAGGACGCCTGCGTTAGCTTACCCCAAGTTTGGAGTAATCTACCGAAGGCCTGTTGTATTTGTGGTCATGTATGGTCAAAGCAGGGACTCCGTCAAAGTCTGAAAGTGATGAAGTCCTGATCATGCAGGCTGCCACTGCCAGCACGTCCGGCCCCTCGAAGGCGAGCTCCTCGCTCGCGACTTCCAAGCCTAAGCCCCCTCCGGTGAGAAACTACTTTTCCATCCCCTTTTCACGGTCTGCTGAATGCTCTATCTTCCATCTGCGTGACCTCTTATGTGACCCACTTACTGAATGGTGGAGTACGGCCCCGCAGACTTTGAAGATGGCACGCTGGATCTTTGGTACCTTATTGGCTTATTGGTTTACCGAAGCAGATGGCTCCCAGAGAGAAACAAAGTCATTATAGCTCAGAGGGGAAGGATCAAAAGATCACTTGCTCAACCTAATCCCTCTGCTGGTATGTGCGGATGCTGCCGGTGGATGGGGGCAGGCCGAGATCTTTCCCAACAGCTTCTGTGTTGTAGCCGTTCAGAGTCCATACGCACTTCTGCTGCGCCCATGCATTTTCGCTTTCCTCTCGAACCGCTGGACAGCTTGCGCCCTCTCCTTTTATCAATCTTTACCTTCCTTTTTTGACCAGCATCGCTTAAGCGGGCCCCGTCCGGGTTTGATGCAGTAAATCACCCACTGCCCCGGAGCCCTAAACAAGCAACTTTTGATTTGCAGGCCCCCGCAAGCGCTGCCCCGATCGAAGAAGAGGACGAGGACGAAGAGGAGGACTTGATGTCGATGTCCCTGACGGAGCGGCTGACCCACCTGGCCAAGCAAGGCCTTCAAACCAAAAAGGCGACTCAGGAGGCAACAGCACCAGTTCCTGCGGCGGCGGCGAGCAAAGGTGCGCCACGTGGCCTCGAGCTGCGCAGAGTTTCGCCCGAGTTTCCGTCGGAGTCAGTTTCGCTGCAAGCTTGCGAACCTGCCTGTGACTTCCGGTTCATTGACATATGTCGAGAATTTGTTCGAGTGAAGGTTCTGCTAAGGAGCGAGAAGGGATATACAGAGCAACTAAGGCACAGTGAACAACATTATAGATCGGGTGTGTTTCAATATGCAAGAGTATAAGGTTGTTTGCCGGCTGACGCCGCTTATCAATTTCTATAGGTGCGGGCAAGCGGCCGGCTGCCAAGAAGGCCGTCATCAGCGAGAGCAGCGATGAGACGGACCGCGAGAGCGGCCGCGCCGTCGACAGGGCCCCGCCGGCGAAACCCCCCGCAGGTATGAAAGCGCAGAAGCCGGCTTGCTGGGCCCTTTGAAAAGGCACGGTGCTGAAACGACAGCCTTCGCTCTCTGGGGAGCAATTGGGGCAGCATGCACACAAGACGCGAGTTCTTGAAATGGAGGGAATAACCTCATAGTCGGACGAAGACGTGCTACTCCTTGTCGACTCAAGAGCCTTCTGTGAAGGGCTGTCTACTGGGGAGATTCAACAATTCTGAGCTTCATACTGGTCGATGTGGAAACCTGGCTTGTGTCACGCTCTGCGGTGGAGATTGATCTCGTTACTTGTGCTAACCAGAGAAAGCTACTTCGACGGAGGCTCGTGAAGAACCGTTACGACTCCCTTCTTGAATCTCTGCTGGCAACAGGCCCGACGTGTTTCTCAAATCCCTTCTCGTCGGCTTCCGCAGGCGCGGCCAAGCCCCGTGCTGCTGCCCGGAAGACGTTCCAAATCGACAGCGACAGCGAGGAGGAAGACGCGGACCTGGCCGACATCCCGCCGCCCAAGGCCGCACCCGGTACGTACCGCGGAATGCGCATCTCCAGCATCCATTCAAACCTCGCTATGTGGTCGTGAGCCGCTCGGATGTCCGATGTTTTGCTGAACAGATCGTTCAGTGCAGCGTGCTCCTGCCTCGAGGTTGGATGGGCGAAATATGCGGCGGGGGCTCTGTTACAAGTGCCGTTGCTTGAATGAAGCGCCTGCGGACGATCTCGACCCGCTCATATGATCTGCGAAAGCCTGGCTTCACTCAGAACGGGCGGTTTGCAAGCCCTTTCCAAGCCCTTTATTGGTCGGAACATTGACGTCACCGTATTGTACCTACAGCCCGCCCGGCACGGGTGCCTGCAAAGAAGAGCTACCAGATCGAAGACAGCGATGACGAAAGCGATGGAGGGAGCGAGAACGAGGCCGACGAGGCAGCCCCGCCTCCCCCCGCGCCGAAACCGAAAGCAGTCGCGGGTAAGCCGGGCCGTCCATGCTCCAACGAATCGTGCCGCATTGCAGACTTTCTCGGTTTCCGCTCAAGGAGGTCGTAGCCTTGTCCTTTCAGCGAGTCACGACTTGAAACGATAAGTCCATGTCACCAAGATTTGTATGCTTTTCTTGGAGACGTCTACGAAGACCGACCTGGCTGTCGTAACAACCCCTAGCCTTCTATACCGGCTTGAAAGCTTTAGGCTTGCGGCGACTAGAATAGTTGCGTGCAAGCTTTCCGGTCGCCTTACTACGAGTGCAAGGGTGCGCCCTCTTTCAAAGAAGTAAAGACCTAAGCTGGTCCAACAAATTCATCCACAATGCTCTCAAGGATCTCACGAGCTTCCTGTTTCCTGCAGCCCCGAAGCCCAAGCCCGCTGCCAAGAAGAGCTCCAAGGTGCTCAGTTCAGAGGAGTCGGACTTCGAGCCGGAGGACGAGGACTCCGACTTTGAGGAGCCCAAGCGTGAGTTGATTTTCCGTCGCTCCCTCTTTTTGATTCGAACAGCTCTGGCGTGTTGGCTGTTTCTGCATCAAAACCGTCCACGCGTGTAGCTATGTCCTCTTCCAATCCCGTTCTTTGGGATTCTGGTCCCTGGAAATTCTGTCGTCTTCCGAGGACTAGGTTCGCAATGGGGGGCCTGTGCAGCGAGACCCTGTGGTTCCAACACTTTTCTCTTCATCCTAGTCCTCGGTCTGACACTTCTCGCATTGTATCTGCCCTCAGCCAAGAAGAAGCTCGCGCCGAAGAAGCTGGCGCCTCTGCCCGCCAAGGCTCCCAGGGCACCCAAACCCCCTGCAGCGGCGGGGAAGAAGCGGACGCTAGGAGCCAAGGTGAGGCGTCAAGACATTGTAAACAACAAGTCGACTGCGGACAGTCTTTAAAGAATGTCACGCTCTGAATGCGGTTTTTGAAGTCGTACCCACAGCCCATACGTTTGTTGGGGCACGAGCTTCTCAAGAAGTCACCATACTCAAAATTGGCTGTCGATTTCAGAGCCCTGACAGGCTGATTACTCTCGGTCGCTTTGTTGTTTCCTATCTGCAGCCTTGCCCGTGCTGTCCGCCGTATCCGGATCAGTGCATCAGAGCCGCCGGTTTTCTTTTCTCGCCGTCCTCTTTTACTGACTCGCCCTTTCTTTCACGCAGGCGCCGAAGATTCTGAGCGACACCGAGGAGAGCCAGGCTGGCACCTCACCAAACGACGACGCAGGTGAGCGGACTGCTTCAAACCAAGCTCTAATCGAACGGACTGCTACGATCGTATCATCGGACGGACGAGCTACGACCCTTCAGCGGTCCTATGAACAGCAGAAGTTTAGCTTCGAGCGACTGAGCGGTTGTACCGTTTGCAGGAACCCTTTCAGGAGTACATCCGGTGCCTTTCATTAGTTCATTCGTCTTCCATTTTCTAGTCCTGTAGTTCCAGCTTCTTGTACTCGCTTCATCGCCAGAATCGCTTCCGCTGTATGCAGATTCCTCGCACCAGTAGCTCCCTTACTGATTCGCCCCAAAATTGGAAAATGAATCGACTGCAGGTTTCACTAGTTAAAGGAACGCTTCGACCTCAGTGATCTCATTGGGTGTACTGAATTAAGAGCTTTCTCGCTGTCTACAGACGTCCCGGTAGACTCTCCCGCCCGCAAGTCCCCCGACAAGAAGGTGCGCCGCATGCGGCCGTCCCCCTTCAACAAGAAGAGCGGCTCCTTGCTGGCTGCCGCCCCGGTCACAAAGGGCCCCGCCTTGGACCTGGAGGCAGGGGCCGATGAGGCGCCCGGGGGAGGCGGCCGCCGACCGGCACGTGCTGCGCGGAACCAGATCAGCTACGTGGACCTGGACGGCGAGTCGGAGGAAGACGAAGCGAGCGACGAGGAGTTTTCTGAGTAGGGCGGAAAGGAAGAAGGGTTTGGTTTGAAGTTTGAAGGGCGAGTGTTTAGAGGGGTACTAGACAGCATGTTGAGTGTGGTCGAGCAGATGGTGCATTCAATGCAGATTCAACGAGTATTTTGTTGAAATTTGACGGTGTTTAGTTGGCTGCAGCCAGTAAGACAGACGCTCATTGGTGGGCTTTGAGCTTCTAGTGTCGCTAGTAGCGGGACAGTAAGATACTCTTTGCTGTTCCGTCTTCTGAAATGCCTGGGCAGGCATGTTACGAGAGCAACGACGCAGCATATTTAGTCTGCGCAAGGCATCACAAAAGACACTCGATGAAGTCATGCACTTCTCCCTTGTATTCACTGCGCTGCATTTTGGAAGTCGACCCTTCTGAATCATTATCAACTCGATCAGACCTTCAGATCGCCGCTTTGACCGGCCAGTCACTGTCAGATTCTCTGAAACTGCGCTCACTGAGTTGATTGCAAAGGTTGCTTTGACGCAGTCATCTGCAAAAGATGTACCGGAGCGGCATATTGATGAATCATGAGAGATTACAGTCCGTTCGGGGCCACGACATGCCTATAGTGGACTGCCTATCCTCTCTGAGTTACTCTATCTAAAGTTCCTTTTCTTCTCTGCATACTTACATGTACGAATCTAGCCGGAATGATCGCGATATACGGATCCAGTGAAAGCCACCTGTAAGGATCCCACATGAGCTTTTGCGCGCGCATATACAACGTCGCCGCATGCAGGAGTTGCGCGCGCAGAGTATCCGTACAAGAGCGCAGGCTCGCGGCGCGCAGACTCTAGCAAGAGCGCTAGCAGCTTCGACCCCTCTTCGACCACTTGGCCAGTCTTGGGACCACCAGGATAGTCTTTAAAGCTGCAAGAATTTGAGGCTTGAACCGGGGGTGCCGCCGAAATGGCACGTGTAGCAGAGCAGAACTCCAGCTGATCGTCTCCAACTTCCAACTCATGTTGACATTAGTCTCGATCTTGCAATCCGATCCGCGATCGATCGTGCGTGCATTATCTGCTAGGAGAATGTCTGCATGACTCATCAGCCAAAACCAAGCGAAGCCGTCTTTCAAACGATCACATGGATGTGTTTCCTAGTAGTAGAAAGGTATTTCGTCATCAGCCCCGATCGTCAGCTATGATTATATGCCCAGCAAGCTGCAGGTTGACTTCGTACGACTTTGGATCACCCCGTTTACTTATTAAAAACGAGCTCCTGGGGAGTTTTGTGAGTTTGGGAAGACGGAGTTGAAGGAAATTGAGCACTGGATATCAAAACCCCATTCTGGTAAGTCTTCTTGCAGCTTCCGCAGCGATTCGGAGCGCAGGGTAAAAGCAATGATGGCTCATGCAGATGCGGCGCCGTGGAGAAGAGCTGCTTCTCGCATCGACCGGTTTCATTCTTCGATATTTTCAAAATAGAAGCTGTACAAAATACGCGCACCACAGTTGGAGGGACAGCGTCAGTCCAATCCTAAGCAAGCACTCAAACGCTCACCTGACACAGACCTCAGCAGCTACGATCGCAAGCTTCTTAAATCACCAAGGGAGCCTTTCTGTTCTGAGCAGGTTCCGGTGGGGAATCCGACCAGAAATGTAGCATGCGATTACCTCTGAGCATAGCATCATTCGAGTCAGTTGCAATAAAGTGACGGTAAACTGGCAGCATTATGAACGCAGGAAAGGCCATCTTGTTGGGGCTGCTCTTCTGCATCCCCCTCCTCGACCTGACTGTCGCCTCTGCGGACGATGAGAACGGGCATCGTTGGCAGCAAGCGCCGAAAGCTCCTGCGGCTCCCCCCTCTAGTTTTACAAACCCACCAGCGGCCCCCCCTTCTAACCCCAGAACTCCTCCGCTGACTCCCCCTTCTGGTTTCAGGACTCCACCGCCGGGTCCTCCTTCCGGAAACATCGGCGCATCACCCGGGCTGCCGTCAGGAGGCTCATCGGCGATGCCCCAGAAGCCCCAGGTGAGCAAACTAGACTCTGCGTCAGAATGCATTTCTCCACTTCGGAGAGTCTTGAAATGCAACTGGTGATTGCTTGGATAAAGCATGCGAAGAGTGTTTCGAAACTGCAAAGAGCTTCCCGCAAGGCACCAGGTTTGGGCAAGGCGAAGGAAGGCCATGCAGCTTCTTTGAAAGAATGCGCACGACGTTTAAGCACAATGCTAGATGGGGTAAAGTGAGAGTCCTCCTGAGCTAAAAGTCCAACCGTTACGAAACTTAGTCTCTCATCTGGTAAGTCTTTTCAAGGTCGTTGCAAGCATTGTACGGTTGGCAGACTCCTCGACCATTCGTGCAGTCGTGTCAAGACTACGGTGTGCTTTCATTGAAGAAACTTTTGTGCCACGCTTCCATTCGCGATCAGGAGACCATCAAACAATCAAGCTTATTTTTTTGGATAGGGTGATCGATCGACCCCTGTAGTAATCCACCTTACGAGTCAGGAAGAACACAAGAACTCCTTCAGTTTTTGGCGTTGCAACACATTCGGACACGTTGACGTGATGATTGACAGAGCCTTTGCCTATGCTACAAGCAGAAATAGACCGCTTCGAGTTCGTCTGCCGATTGTCGACCTTTCCTTGAAAACAAAGATCTTTACAAGCAGTCTTTCACGATCAGAAGGATCTTTTCGCGGGTGCCGTCGAAACGCGGCCGTTGTCGAAGCTTCGAATCGTCCTCAGGCACAAGTACAACCGTTGATTGTACTCTCCTTCACAGGGGTTTTTGGCGGTCAATCATAGTCGTTTACGGGCTGGTTCGAAGCTGGTTAACTGCCCAATGACCAGAATCGAGCAGTGACCAGGTTTTTTAAAGGGCTGTAACGCGGTCATTGGTCAAAGAACCGGACAGAAGACTGGTTAGCGAACCTGGTTAACAGCCAAACCTTCCTGTGCTTTCTTGACAGGTCTTACCCTGCGGCTTAGTCGGGCAGGCGTGCTGTAGGACTCCCATGGGTGCGGGTGCGGGCTCGGGGCAGGACGCCATAACCTGTCTTGTGAGCTCGGGGGGGCAGTCCGGGTGCAAGGGCTCTGCCGTCGGGTGCAGCAAATGCTCCGGGTGTACCTGCCAGTGCGGAGAAAGCATCGCACCTGGGTGCATGGCGCCAGCTTACGTTCCAACCGGGCAGTGCCCGGGTTAGAAAGGGAATAGTCAGAGGTGTTATAGAAACAGAGGTGTAACTTCTGCTAAGACGATAGCAGGTTGAGGAGTCGAGAGGTCCGCTTGAGGTTTACGTGGAGGTGGTGAACGCTTTCTCTGTCTGTGTAGATTTGTCACGAACAAGAAACGAGGTGGTTTTAGTGGTTCAAATAGGGCGTGTGTACAGGAATTGCGGTGGCGTCCAGGTGATGGAAATCGGTCCTCGTTCTGTAGTGACGAAGATTGGCTAGAGCAGTTAGTAGGTTGTCGGACTATCTGTCCCAGATGCATCATCCGTACGTATCAAGGCCGTGACCTGATCTGATGAGTGATTGCAAGTCCTTTTCTGCCAGGGAAAAATTAGGCATGAATCGCTTATCCGTTCTCTGATAGCCTCTCTGATAGGAAGACTTCTAGTAACCACTTGCATGTCGAGACGATGCGCTCAATTGGCAGTAACGAGCCTTCTTCTTGTTTGCGTTGTCAAGATACTCACGACAGCTTGTCTCGTACTGATTTTGGTTGTCTCAGAAATAGTAAATGACTATCACAGGCCTTATGCTGCAAAGCCGCTGCTGCTCCTGAGGCCTTGGATTGATCGCATGTGCATGCGCATCGTACTCATGTTTCGTTGGCAAATGCCGGACGTACTTGCATTGGTCGAACGCTTGCTCGACCATATCTGGCTAGAAAACGTGCCGACACCAATACTCGGGCATCGTAATTTTTCTGCATCCTCAAGCTCTCAAAGACCCCGTTCTGGTTGAAATGGCGTTTGGTAAAGTCCTGATCAGTGGAATGACTATGACAAAATCTCTTGCGTGATGACTGTGTGGCCATACGAATGCGTATTTTCAAGTTGTCGGAAAGTACCAATACACTTTTACAAGATTAGCCAAGCAGCTGCAGCCTGCAGCTCAGTGCTGCTGTAGAAGTTGGAGTGCCTTCTTGCATGGGCACATACCAAGTTTGTGTGCAGGCAGACCGTACGATAAGCGAGCCCTTGCAATCGACGGTTTAGAACATCCCGAAACTCCATTACGGCGACAGGTTGGCTTCCGACCCCGGAAAGAAGTCGCCCTTCAATGCCTTCGCTGCCAAAGTTGAAACTTTGAAATTGGGCAAAGCATCTTCTGCATAAGGAATGTTTATGTCAGGTGCATGCTGTTCATGGCGTTGGATCTTATCCGCTCAGCTCATTGCTACCTTGGCCAGCGGTGGGCTCGAATGTAGAAGTGACTCTTTGCTTCCATCGCCCCTGGTAAGTCTGCTGAACTCAGGAGCGCTACCTGTCTGCCCTGATCCATTCTGTGCCCCAAACAAAAGCTTGTTTCCGCCGCAGGATATCACCGTTTGTAACAGGTAGAAGGCCTTTCGTCTTTCTGGTATATGGAGTGTGGCCCTCCTCGCAGTTCCTCGATAAGTACTGAATCTAATTCTGTCTGCCTCTTGGTGTTTGACGCTTGCTCTTATGAGTCCAACCCATCAGTAACAGAGAACATTTTGCACCGCTGCAACTTCAGAACATCTCTCTTTTATTGCCCTTTGTTGCTTTCTGGGTTTGATAGTGTGACAGCATTGTGAATCAGAACAGACACGCACACAGCACGAAATGCACCGCTTGTGTTGGCAAGATTGTTTTCAGCTCTGCTCACTCCAACCTCCTCTACTCTGCAGATCAGGCAATCACTCCACTCTCACAAGACCAGTCTCAGAAGCTGTATTGATTGAGCATGAAACCTCCCATCCCGGAGAACACCACCCAGTTTTCTTGAGCCTGTGATGGAGAAGGGCGGCAAGGCCCTGTCCACCTCAGAGTGGGAGCAAGTCATCTCCGACTTTGCCTCCTCAGAGGCGCTCCAGCAGCGATGGCTGGCGGCCTACCCTGCTCAGGCCCTCCTAGAGCTCGCTCTCAACATCGTAGCCAAGGAGCGAGGGGCAGACTTCAGTCTCAAGCAGCAGCTCCTCGTTTTCCTGGAGGAGCATGGCGCGCTGCTGATTGGCGATGACGTCAGCGCGGGGCTCGGGCGGGTATCTGGGGTGTTGAAAACCCTCCTTCCACCAGCGGGCAGCGGGTCACCACTAACCCAGGCCTTGCTAACCCAGGTTATCTCACTAGCGGCGGTCCTGGCGGTGCAGACAGAGAGCCAGGAGAGCGCGCCGGGACAGCTCGAGGCCCTGGTCGATGTGCTACTAACTGTGGTTAGCCGGGTTAACTCGCTGCCTGACCGGCAGGTTAGGGGCGCTGCGTGCGAGGCCCTGCGGGGGCTTGAGCGAGCTGTGCCCTGTTTGCTGCACTCTGCGCTAGGGCACTTGCTCGGGTTTTGCCAGTCAGAGCGGTCTCATGTGGCTCAGAGCTACATCCTCCTCTTTCTGGAAGTCTTGGAACATGCGGCGGTGCACCTGTTTCACAGCGGGGGAGGGGAGAGACACGCAGAGCCAAAACGGGGCCGGTTAGCAGCACTGTCCGACCACGTCACGTCCTGGGTGCCGTCGTACTTTCGCTCAGGGGAGGTTCAGGGGCTTTCACCGCTTCAGGGGGGACAGAAACCAGGCGGCAATGGCCCCCCGTACCGACACACTAGCTCTGGGTCCCCTTCTGCGCTTCTCTCAACGATCGCTCCCCTCACCCCATTCATGCTACCCCCCTTCCTGTCTGCCACAAAACCTTCACAGGGGTTCGCCAAGCAGGAGGTTTCAGAGGGCACGCTTAGAGAGTTCCGGCGCGCAGTCTCGTTTGTGCTGGAGAACACGGGACTTCTAAGCGAACCCGCAACCGCGCAGGTCGTCTCCAGCCTGACGCGCATCGTCTCCGCCGTCAAGCTCCCCGTGTCCATCTTCAAGCACCATTTCGCGGGGCTTATTCACAGCAGCAGCCCGGTGCTCATTCACACCGCCCTCCAAGTGTACCTCCAGTTCCCGGAAGCTTACGCCGACGCTAGCGAGCGCGCCGTTTTGCTTGACCGATTAGGCCACCTGGCAAACAACTCTCAGCAGCCCTTGAGTGCAAGACTGCTGTCCCTCCATTGGCTTCTAGCAATTGCGACGTCAACAGAGACTTCCGCAAAGCCCCCATCATTTCTGCCTCTCCTGCGCCCAGCGCTCTTCGACCCCCTGGCAGTAAAGGCCTCGATGCTCGAAGCCCTCGCCCTTGTGTCCCCCCCTCCAGTCAACACCGTTCAAAGTCAAACAGCCAAAACCCCTGTGGGACAACCCTCCAACTCATCAGAAACCAAACCAGCATCAATCAGCGGTTTCTCTTCCAGTGCCCCCCTTTCTGCGGCAGATTTCGGAGTGGGCCCTGCCGCCAGCCTGGAGGCCTCAGTCGCTTTCCGAACCCTGCACCGTTTCATCACAAGCCAGCACGGCATTGCTCCCAAGGGATCCCCCTCAGTTCCGGACGATCTGGACAGCGGCCAAAACCTCCAAACCTCGTCGAACAGTCCAGTTTTGCAGCAAATTGGCGCGCACCTAGTTTCCATTGCTGCGCAGCACCCCCCTCAGATCCCCAACATCCTGGCCCTCTTGCAGCGGCTCCTGCAGAGCCAAACCCACTCCCAAACCGGGGTTAACCTGCTGCGAACCCTGGAAAGCGCGCTTCTCCCCCAGCTTAAACCCTCCCGGAACCTCCCAGCGTACTTTCCGCTTCTGCAAGAGATGGTGGCGCACGGTCAAGGAGATCCCAAACCTCTCCTAACCCTCCTGACGGGTTACTGTAAGCAGTGGCTTTCAGCGGCGGGGTTTGAAACCGGGTTTGGCGCCCAGGCGTGGTTACGGGGCACAGAGGTGTTGGAGGTTTGTCGGAGCATGATGCTCGTGCAGCCACGTGACAAGATCTTGGAGCCGCTGAGAGAGTTGCTGGGCTGCATGGCGAAGGACTTTCCGGACATTGAAGTGCGGGACTCGGCCAGGTGAGGCGATGTTTTGAGAAGAATCACAAATGGTACATCAGGCTATTCAAGTCTTATCATGTAAGATGCCAGAATTTAAAACGCGGAGGAAGAATGTTTACACTTAGGAAACGACAGTCTTTCCACAGCGTCCAATCTCATGAGGGGGCTGTTGGGTCACTATTCTGCTCTCTCTCTTGAGAGAGATTTATGCACCCGTTTCAGCTGACCGTGCCGTAGCAAAGTACCCTGCCGTCTGCTTTCATAAAGGTCCCATATTTACTCGCAACCGTTCAGGACAAGTACTTCTCAAGAGCATTCCCCTGACTCCCGCTGTCTTTAGTCATCAATATTGGGTGCATGCACGCTTATGCAGGCTGTACTCCTCGCTTCTTGGGAACCTGCCCGAGGAGCACCTGCGCTCGATGCTGACACGTGGCGAGAACGGCGGAGCCGACTCAGCGATGCTCCTGCGGACCACCTCCGTGACGCCGTCCGATCTCGAGCGGGAGGCCCCTCCGGACGTTGCGTCCTACATCGTACTCGAGAGGCTGTTCGACCCTTTGGTAAGCAGCACGCAACACGAGAACGATCCCCGAAAACTTTTTGATGCGAAGATGCCTCTCGTAGCGGTCCCGAGACTGATCATCTTGAAAGTGGATCAACATGGTCAGGTAAAGCCGGTGTTGATTACGATGAAGAGAGGCAATTTGGTTAAGAACTTCCCTTTGATTGCTGGAGTATCCCAACGGCTTCCAGATCCCCGCATGTGAACGACGCGTCATACGGAGCAATTTATTTACCTTTCTGCTCCCGTCCCGTTCGTCCCTCCGAGAGAGCCAGAAGATCACCGTACTCCTTTACATCATCGTGCTCGGAGTGGATCCCGTTATATTGAAGCTTCGGAAAGGATACCCTTAGCATAAGCGGCACGTTCCTTTTTGGCGCGCTGTTGGCCCCCTCAGATGCCGCTCGACCACTCCAACGAAAGTATCTAAGAGTGTTCTCTGACCCTTACTGCAGGGCGCACAGGCATGGCCGGCCAACCGAGCGCTGGAAGGCGGCCCCGTCGAGGCCGGGGCAGCGACAACCGGACGTACTGCTGACGTTGACCGCGCCAACGGAAGTGCGAGGGACGGACGAGTTGACGATGCGCGCTCTGGGAAAGGTGGCGTGCGATTGCAAACGCAGCCGGGGTCTTCAGCAGACACGAAAACGAGAGGAAAGGAAGCGTGGGGACGGGAGCAACATCGGGCGGGAACGAAGGGGGCTGGTCCTCTTAGGGATGGTCGGGAGGAAGTTCTTGAAGGTACAGTAGCTGAGGGAGTTTCGGCACCGCAAGTGTTTGGGGAGAATGGTACGGAGCGGAGTGCTTTGGACCGGTATTGGGAGGAAGTGGAGCGAGGGTCTGGAGACAGTGGAACGGTCTGCGTTCCGTGCAGCCTCCGCTACTTAGGACGACCGGAAGCGGCTGGGCGGAACGGAACGGGAAGAGGGGCGGTCTCGACCTCAACCGACGGGGAAGAGCAAGCCACTGAGGGTGGCGTGGGCTCAGATGGGGGCCACGTGGCAGAAGGGCACAGGACGGTGGCTGGCGAAGAAGGAAAAGACATCCGGGATGAACATGTGGAGCGAGGGAAGGGTTTGGCCGAAGGAGCGACGGCGCCCTCAGCGATTTTCGCGGCAGTTTTGACCTTCTCGACGCCCGGAGAGTATGAACCAATTGCGAGCGTCCACGTGCCCTTTCTGCTCGAGGAGAGCCATGAAGCGGAGCAGGGGGGTACATTCTCCCCGGAGAGCGTGCCCCCCGAAGTCGTTGAGATTGAGCTCCGGCCGATCCAGCCGCTGCCGGGCCAAGTCGAAAGCTGGATCGAGTTCACGGACGAAAACGCGCAGGCCGTCAAAGGCCGGCTGCAAACCATACCCGTCGCCTTCGAGGACCTCTTCAAGGAGATTCCAATTCCTGCTGACGTGGCAGATGACGTGGCGTGGCGAGCGGCGCTGTTCGACGCGCTGTGGGCGGGGCTGGGGCATCCGAAGGGTTTGCGAGCGTCCCAAAAGGGGGACGCAATCGTTGGGGCGGAGTCCGTAAAGCTGTTAGAAGTGGACGCGGAGATTGTGGTGGAAGCTGTGGAGCAGCTCCTGGCAAGGTTCGTCACGGGAGTGACCGGGGAACGGCTGGTAGAGATTGTTCGCGAAGGGGGTGCAGTTTCCGGGGTGCGATGGAACGGTCCTGAGCAGGAGAGTGGCCCCCCTGAAGAGAGAGCTGAGAGCGGTTCGCCTCAGTTGCAACTAGAGTGGGGAGAGAACGAGAAGGGGCAAAGGAGCGGCAGCGGCGGAGCACTGGGCTCGTTTGAGGTGCTCATATTCCTGCCGCCACGGTACCACCTGTTGATTAGCGTTGTGGTTTCGAACTGGTCCAGCCTTGCACACATACGGACAGACTTTTGGCCGTGCCTCGCGCACGTGGACGAGTTTCTGGAAGGCCTCGTGGGATTGGCTTAACGACTTGCGCCGATGACACGACCATGTATGACGTCACGGTCCAAGCATCCTCAATCCTGACATTGCTGCATAATACACTTGGCGATGGGATGCCGGAACGCGGGCAACCCAAGGATAACATCACAATTTACGTGTGTCAATCAAGCCTCTCAATTTCAAATAAGGCATGGTTGCTGGCTTGCAGCCGTATACAAACGTCCACTCAAAGCGTCTGCTGTCGGGCCTGCACATCTCCTAACTGATTCATCTCGTCACGCCCCCGCGTGTCTCGGTCACCCTTTGTCATGAGCATGCCTGCCGCACCACTCATGTGAATAACTTGCGCCACGTCCACGCATCACAGAAGGACCATGAATGTGGTTGGAGTGCACAACAACATTGCGCCAACTCAGCGCCTTCACATGAGACTGACTTCAGGTCATCATCCAGCTGTCTAGAGTGCTTTACAGTACCGCCCTAACCACAGCCTTAGATTGAACAGAAGAAAGAATGAAGCCAGAGCCTTCATTCTTTCCCTCATGTCATAGTTCGTCCCTAGACTAGGTGCCAGCTCCGGCACTTATTCAAATTATTGCATTTATGTCCTCACTCTAGTTACAAGCAGAGTAACTCGGACATAAATCAGACACGACACAATCTGACCTGACACTGCAAAAAGTGGCGGCCGGCCATGGCCGACGCAAGTGGGCGCACACTTTGATCGAATCCGGAGCATTCACCGCTCACGCAGAAATTGGTGACCATCAACGTCAAGCAGCGTCAAGCATGCATGCGCGTATATAGTCGAGGATTAATGATGAATTTCTACACTAGCAACTTGTATCCTTCAAACAGGTTTGGAAAGCAAAGCTTCCACGATGAGCTAGCTTCAGTGGCATAATCTGAGGTTATGGTGACAAGATTGCAGTTGGTCCTCAGGCTCAAATCTCTTCGATTGATCACGCGTAGGTCTAGATGTCTAGACAAATCTGTTTAGCGGACTCAAGTATTGTACACGAACGCCCCGAGCAGCTCAATCAAAAATCCTAGCTGAAAATATGACGCGCTCCACACCCGCACCTGCCCGCACCCTCATTAACCAGCTACCCTTACCCCCCGCCGACTACCGTAACCACACCCGTCCCCAGTGCTTAGGTTATCTGGGTGCCGTGAAGACAAACCAAAGTTTTCAGCCTGCGCGCCTGCAGATTCAAGTCGGCTTTGTCTCAACGATCTTCATCGAACGGTCGAGAATTGCTGAAACTTTGAGCTCGACCAGAAGTAGATCACACAGGATCCGATCACATTTCACAGGAGGAGCTTTTGAAGGCGCACAGTCGCCTCGCACAAGTTCCCTTCTCTGAGCTACCAACGCGGCCACCCTCCAAGAGGCGCTTGGATCCAAGCCGTCAAGATGGCGGTCGAGAGCGAGAGGCTGTCAATGTTGATATAAGATGGGTAGCCTCCCAGCGTAAGAATTTTCCTGGCATTGAGCACATCAATCATGCAAAGCTTACGGGATGACTGTAATCCAGACAACCATCCTTGAGGCCAAAGAAACGGAAGCTATTGAGCACCTTTTCAAGATAGCACAGGTAAGATCTTCTGGTGAAAGTGGATAAGAAGCAGACATGGAAACGATATCAAGTAATGGTCGGGTATACTGAGAGCTTTCTGTTGTCTGCAAAGCTTGGAAAGACTTTCTCCCTCTTTACAAGCTCAAAAGATCTCCTTTTCGACTGCAGTTTCATCAGCTTTTGCCGGCCACCAAGTATGCGGCACTTTGCTTTCTTTCTGACCGTTTCTTCGAGCGTCTGAAGAAGGGCACTTCAGGGTGAGTCACTACGTGGAACATCCAGCTCAGCGGGCATGAAAGTTGTTCTGTCAAGAAAATGGAAAGATTGAAATAAGACAGAACGAGCGCGCTTGGCACAAGCAAGGTCTTAGTGAAGCCTCAAGAAGGGACAGACAGCTGATGGAGCAAATGGTCTATTTGTTTGCAGTTACGTGGAGCGTAATATCAGCAACCGGAGGCTTCTTCCCTCCAAATCAAACTTGAAGCTTTATGCAGTGATTGCCGTTTGGATTTCGAGCAAAGTACACGAGGCCAAGCCGATCCGTATCAGGTCTGGTATTATATCAGGCCTAGTTATCCCTGTGGCAATGCGGGTCCATTCATCAAGCTCATCGCACACAGAGCATGGTATCTTGGTTCGAAACACCCCATTCTGCAAAGGGGTTCTGGTGAAGGAGGCCGTGAGAGCATCCTTACAGATGAGAAACGAGTATAAATCCAAGCTCTAACGAGTATGGTCGGATAGAATGCTAGTTTGTTCTCTGCAATTGACTCGAAAAGTGCCATCGAAATCGTCGCTTCTTAAGATGTTGACTCATTTACAGGACGATCAAGGATCTCTGCGACATGTCACTGCGGGATCAACTTTATACAGAAGGGGACCTTGCAGAGGCGGTAAGGCTCGGAGGTTCTCCCGCCGTGAAATTCATTCCTGTTGAGAGCCGTGACTTCAAGTAGTCTGATATTACCACTGCGCAAGATTCTCATATAGTACCCGGTGTATGCCCAATGGGAACCTAGAATGATTCCTCTGCCATAGAAATTAAGGTGTGATCAGGTAGTTGAGAGGCAAATTGACGTTGCAGCAAACTGTCATTCGTCTCCTCTGTTCTGTTCTTCCGTATTCTCCTACTTCTGACTTTCTATGTTTGTTTTGCTTCTTTGCACACGAATCCAGGAGATCGTCTTCCTAAAGGTGAGGTATAGTACTCCTCGTTTTCTCAACATCAACGCTGCCGCTAACTTTTGGAAACCCGCCTTCCACTACAAATGCTGCAACCGTTCAGGTTTTGCCTTTGATGTGCTCTTGTATGTTCGACGTCAGATGAGCATTTCGAGGAGCTTTTTCAGGCTTAGAGTTCCTTGCAGACCATAGACTTTGAGCTCCAGACGGGCACCATCGCATACTTCTACCTCGAAGATCTGTTAGCCAATCTGCAAGACGTTTGCGACTTCGCGAAGGGAGTGAACCTCGAGACATGCAGCAACATTTTGGACCTACTTTATGAGAACCCGCAGTACCGTGGGTGTGAAGAAGACTCCGACTATGCTGCTGCAGCGATTCTGGTAATCCTTTCAACGTGATGGAATAGATACCAAACACTTGATTCTGGCGCACGAAGAAGTTCCTTACTTGGCGGACCCCTCTGATCTTCCAACACTGCGACCAGGACTCTGAGCTGTGCCAGAAGGATCTTACTAGAGCTTGTTCCTTCTTTACAGAGCAGCCTTGATTCTTTTCGCGCGCTCTACTTAATGGTGTTTTGGTTTTCGCAGGCCGCAGCCTACTACATCTGCCTTCCAGACCCGCTGACATCAAATTTTGCAATATTCCGTTGGCGTGAGTTCTCAAGTCGTCTCCGGTCTTTCACATCTGGCCTGAAGAGGTTCATAATATGTGCGTTGCAAGATCTTGTACGTTTTTTTAGTCGTTCTCTATGCAAGCGTGGAAGATTCAGCAGCCGGCCATGGCACTTTGGCCGTTTCGGAGCCTGAAAAACAAGTAGCTGCGACCTTCGTAGAAGAACCATGTTACCACGAATCAAAATCTCCGGTTCGTGTCCAAGATGAATAATCTGGTAAAATTTGGAAAAGTGATGCAGATTTGTTGTGTTGTGACGACTTCTACTGGTTCACTTCGCAGTTGAAGAGGTGTGCATGATCAATCAGCGAGAACTCCAACCCCTCGTCGAGGCCGTTCTCAACTGGAGCCTGACAGAAAGCCCTCATCCAGATTCACCGTTGTACATCGAGTATCGACAAGGATGGAGGGCGGGTCATTCACCTCAAGTAAAGCGCAGTCGCTGATTACGTACAGAGCTAGACGGTCCGTTACAGGGTTTCATACATGCCAGCAAGATAAGAGAGAGGACTGCTAGCAGATTTCTATTTTACAAGCTAGCCGCCTGCCTTATTGCTTACTAAGTGCCACAGTTTCCAACAGATCCCATGCATGACCGCGCCGCGCTAGGCCACGTTCAGTGTCGGCATCTTCAGTGCCATGAGAAGATGCACATAACGTACGGCATCTTTAAGGTGCAGCGCCAGAGACGTTTCGAGTTAATGCATCTGAGCTCCTCGGTCCGACATCAACTCCCGTGTCCTTTACATTCTCGTCATGCCCGATGAATGTGTAAGTGCGACGGTGGCGGCGCCTTAACTCCAATTAGTCGAAAAGCTAGAGAAGATGTACGTTGGTCTGCAAGTGCATGGAACTGGCACTGATTGACCATACAGGAATGGTCATGACGTCACGCAGGAACATGGTACCGGCGATTCGATCCACACTGCACTTAAGTCGGGGCTGGGCAGCCGGCCTTCAAAATAAGCCGTTCTGGCAATCCGAGATTCATGAATAGATGCAAAGCTGCTCACAATCGAGTTGTCACAAGACCCTAACCGTCCATTCGCTAATCGAATTCTCAGATCTACATCCTCGGTTGCATTATAGATTAGATCGCAGTCACAGTCGACAGTCTTGAGAAGGTCTGGAGATGGAGCAGTACAGCGATCGATCGACGTGTGGCTCTAAAATGCTGTCGCCTAGCTAGCTCTCAGGTACTAAGCTGCGGTACATCAGACGAAATGCAGCCTCAAATCCGCAATAACCGATGGCAATAAATAAGCAGTTTCCTAAACCCCTCTGCAAAACACCTTCCCGTACCTACAACGTGATCATTACCTGCTCGGATTCCTCTTGCCGGCCTGGCTCCCGGATCGAAAAAGTACTGGTCCCCAATGACTTCGTTGTCCCGCTTGGAGAGCCCCAGCCCTCAAGCCGCAGCGCATCTTTCAACCCGGTCACAACCGTCGACATGCTGGGCCGATCTTCCGGTAACTCCGCTAGACACTGCGCTATAAGATACGCTACCGTGAAGGCGGACTGGTCTGTATACTGGCCCCGGATGCGGTCTTCGATAATGGCTGACGCCTGGTTTGACACCAGGTACTGCTTCGCCTGCAACACAAAGGAGAGCAGACGAGCATCTATTTAAGAGGGCAAAGGAAGTGGCAGATTGACCAGCCATTCCTGATTGCGTCCAGTCTCTTTTAGCTGTTGTTAGCTCGTAACTCGGACAGAATATCACGATGAAGACCTTGCAATTAGGCGAGGACTGAAGACTTCCATCATGATGTAGGCTCAAGCATCGGTTGGACTCTCCAGGCCCGTCTAAAATGGAAGTCAATTCATCTCTGTACGAGCAAGCTTAAGCTGTTACACTTTCAACCATGGCTTCTTGAAGAACTAGGTATTTGGCAGAGAACCAATTGAGCTCACCCATCGAATGAGGTACACCTCGTTGGCCGGTCTCGTGGTATCCGTTACCCCTCGCCCCGTGATGAGCTCCAGCAGCACGACCCCAAACGAGTACACATCGCTCTTGTCGGAGAGTTGCTGGGTGACGAGGTAATCGGGATCCAGGTATCCTGCACGCCGAACGTTACATCTTCAGTACCTCCCAACTCGGCAGCTGAAGCATCTGAGAGGACGCCACCTTGATTAGGAAAAGCTCCGCCTCCGAAAGGGGACCAGGTAAATATAAGCGAAGGACCTCTCGTCTTTCCAGGTTATCGTCTTTCTAGGTTTACGTAAACGGCTGCACACCTCATCCGTCGAATCACAGCCGATCAAACATTGTCAGGGCATGGGCGTAAGAGACTGCGGCTGTTCACTAGTTGTCAGAATTGTCGTAGACGATCTGGACGTCAGCATGCTTCGTGCGTTTATCAATACTCCAAACCCGTTGAGTGCTCCTTGAGTAACTGCCTAGTTACTACCTTCCCTCTTTCCAACCCTTGCCTAGAAATCTCAACTTTCGAAGCGCAAAACGGACTCGATCGAGCTGAAGGTGGGGTTCTCGAGCAGACCTCAGCGTTTTCAGATGCACGAATCAGGATCTCAGGCAGATACTAGCAGTCTCTTTCGAGCCGCAGCGCTCACCCGGCGTTCCGCGGATGGTGGTTGTGATGTGGTCCTGCGGCCCCAGGCGGTGCGCCATGGAGATGCCAAAGTCGGCCACCTTGGCCTCCAGCGCCGTGTTCAGCAGAATGTTGCTCGGCTTCACGTCCCTGCGCAGGTAAAGGACCTCTCTTTCAGTGGTGGCTTTTTCGATTGTGGTAACCTCTCTTTTGCCCCTTGTTATAAGGAGCCTTCCTATGGCAAAAGGAACTTCCTTTACACGTCCTCTCTCCGGTACTCGTAACAGCGAAGCGCGGTATGAATCCTCTTCCTTCGCAAAACATCTTATTTTGTGGAGAAGGCCAGTTTGCATCTTTCGTCTTGCACATGTCCTGATCATCTCAAACCCCATCGAGCGAATTATGCCGGCGCTCTACAGCGGAGATCTGGACCCTGTCCTTCAAACGGCTCAAGCGCATGACCGTCGACTGTGGTTCCAGCTCGCGCCGCTCGTCAAAATCGTCGGCAGATTGGCCGGTCGGCAATGTCGGCAGCAGATCGAATGGCTCAGATTGAGAGCGACAATCACCTGTGGATGATTGGTGGATCTGCTCCTTCGTGCAGATACGCCAGGCCCATTGCGGCGCCGAGCGCCACCTCTAGTCGCTGCCGCCAGGTTAGAGGTGGCCGCCCGTTGTCATCTGTATGGGAAATTCAAACGGGAATTGGAATCAGGGGTCGTAGGCTTCTTTTGAGTCTGATATTGTAGCATTCCTTCAATTGGGGCTGTACGTAGATCTCCAGAAAGCACCTGGACTTCACAGGAACACCTTCCGGGACGAGGCAGCGAGCGTCCATCTCAACTCAAAGCATGAGAGCACTGCCTTATTAGCACATCCAACGGCCGAGTCATCATATGATCAGTCATGCTTGAAGACGATAAGATGGCCAACCGACTTGCGTAAGCAACGATGGCAACAATCGCGCCGTGAACTGACCCCCTTGATAGGTAGCCCCAGCAAGATTCGTATATGTCCATCTAAGACAGAATATCAGGCTAAGCAGAATGGCTGCTGATCTATGTCGCAACTCGAACCACGGTAGCGTTAGCTTACGGGCGAGGTTGAATCGCAGGTTCCCCTGGGCCATGTATTCGTACACCAAAATCTGCTCCTCCCGCTCCGTGCAGTAGCCCAGCAACTGGACCAAGTGCTGGTGATGCACTCTGCAACCACAACAGAAGAGAGGTTCAGGCGACTGAAAGAAATAGAGTCTAAAAACTGGCGGTTCAAGGAAGTTTCGATGCTTCGCGAAACTCCGGATATGAAAGAATCAGGCATACAGCGAGCAGAATCGTATGCGTGTGATGGTGGTCACCAAACGGCCATTTCGCAAAGCGGCCGGCTCCGCCAAAGATGCATGAGGAAGAAAAGTTACACTAGCTTTTTCTTCTTAGCTCAAATCCTCCAGATTGGGAGAGTAAGTCCAAAGTTGTTGAATAAATACCCAACTCTGGGAATCAAAGCTATATTTCACGAGAGAAACTTTAGTCTTCCTAAAATGCGACTCACCTGGAGAGTAGGTCCACCTCGTTCCGGAACTCCCGCACCTCCTTCGCGGACCGCTCGCGGCAGCGCTTCACCGCGGCTTGGGACCCGTCCGCGAAGTCCGCGCGGTACACCTCCCCGTATGAGCCGATGCCCAATAGGTTATCCCCCGCCCAGCTGTTGGTGGCGCGCTCCAGCTCGCGCAGGCTGTACACCGTGACCTTGGGGTTGGCCGGGTACGGCGTTCCGGGGTAGGGCGTGCCCGGAGAAGCTGCAAACAGCGGGCTGAGATTCACAACTCTGGAGTTCCAGGTGTTGAGTACTGGAGTTCAGACTTTCGGCAGACTTGGGTTTTCTTTCCACAGGCTAGTGCTACGGTCATGGAAGCTGTTCACTAGTTCAGTTAGGCTGACAGAGGCGAGGAGATGAAGATTCACGATTTGAGAAGTCGGCCGAAACGAGAGGAGGAAAGGCTGCGACTTTTTGGAAGAGACCAAATGGACATAGCAGGACGGGGTTGAAACCGCAACTTTTGACTCCAAACCAGAGCCAGCGAGAAACAGTGCCTTCTTTTTGCGGGCCGCCTGTATCAGAGTGCCAACCATCGCTTCATGACTGATCAACAGCTGGATTGCACACCAGGCCCGATGCTTTCGCTTAAGCCTCCATGCTACGGTACTTCTTCCCACGATATCATAAGCACCCTGACACGTGTCGGAAGGGAGCGCCACTTACGTGGATCCACGGACGACCCGCGGACTTGTCGGAAGGCCTTGCGCTTGCGCCGCCGCCAGAAGCGCGCCCCGACAAGTAGGCAACAGCAGAGGCCCAACGCGCACAGCAGGGAGAAGGCGACGGTCACGCCGAGGAAGCCCTTGTTGACGCGCTTGACTGCACCGAAAGGGAGCAGCGTTTCAAAGAAGATTCTGGAGTGGAATCGGCGCCACTGTTTGCATGCGTGCTTTTGACGCTGCTCCTTTGATTGACAATCTATATCAGTTAAGGAGGAGATGGACTTTAGGTGTAAGGCATTATCAAATCCCAGCCCGCGTCCAGATGTCTCTCAGAACCAGGATTTAGATGACCGAACTTCCTGCTTCTTGCCTCTATCAAACTTTTGCTTCTGTCTTCTGTCCTGGTTTCTCGAAATCCTTTGCACCTGAATGCAAAATGAAACACTAGCGACCCACCCAGCGAACTCCTTCGGAATGCAAGGGCATAAACAGTGCGAAAAACCAGAATCATTTCTGGAGGCCCTCCCTACCTGGTCTGCACTCCGTTCCCGACCCTTGGAACCCCGGCTTGCACTGACACTCCAACAAACCGGTCCCATTGCTTGCTAGAACCGCCCCCGCGTTTGCATCGCACATCAGGCACATTTTCCCGTTTCCCTGTGCCGGGGGATTGCACTGACAACCCCAACTTCCGTTAGTCTGTACCACCAAACGCGCCATACTACTGCAATTTACCGTTCCCGTCATGGGGGGGAGGGCAAGTATCGACCCGCCCAGCGAAGCCGCCCCCCCGGAAGTTTGATTCGCTCCAGGGACGGTGAAGTTGGACGGGAGGGGGGGAGGGTTAGCGGTAACTGGAGGGGGGTTTGGGGGCGGGTTTGGGAGGGCGCATCTGTAGCCGTTTCCTGCGTAAGGGGGCGTGCAGGCGCAAGCGGAGGTGCCGTTGGGGAACGAGAGCGGGGAGGCGTTGTCATCGCAGACCTCGCAGGTCTGGCCGTCGCCGTAGAACCCGGGCAGGCACGTGCAGGCGCACGTGGCAGACGAGCCGCTGCCGGAGCGCACGCTGGTGCCGTGGATACTGCAGTCTGTATCGGAACATAAATCCAGGTTATGGGCTGGTTATCCAGAACACGATATTGTAGATGCTCTCAGCTCTTTACTTTGGCCTTCTCTGCAAAGATTGCATATGAAGAATGTTGCGACAGGAGCGTGCCCATCAGAGATCGTCCTGAAACAGGACCGTCGAGGAGACTGGAAGTACGAGGGAATCAATCGGCAAAAGACTGAATGCTACACTGAGCGTCCCCTGGTAGACACAGATTCGATTCCAGAACCTTTTCTTAACGTATGAGACAAGCAACGGATGACAATCCTTTGAACCGAAAGGAAGGGGAAGAGAAGCTCGCGACAAATACAATGGAGGGGCAACAAAAGAGGCTCACATCTCGACTTGCCGCAGACGTATGCGGTCGATGAGTACGGCTTGATGGTACTGCACACATAGTCAACGGCCTTGCCCCCCTCGAACTTGGCGCAGTTCTCGTTGTTCTTCTCCGCGCCAAACGTTTCAGCGGTGCTATTGTAATCGTTCGGTTCGACCGTATACGCTTCCCCTGGAGATCCTGCCCGCCATTGCACCACACCGGGAACGAGCGAGTCCCACGGCACCGCCTGCTGAGCCATGCAGTCCTGCAAATACGAAGTGGGTTTGGGTTAGCATCTGCCCGGGCTCCAGCACTCGGGCCCCTTAAACGCGGGGACAGCATGTTGTTTTCGACGGGATGTTCGATACTTCCCTGAAGGGGTGGGAGCCTAGTACAGCATCGAATCCCGTAAAGTTTGCACTTAATGCAGTGCAGACTGGCTGCAGCATGTTGACCCTGCGTTTAACGGGGGCCGAGATAGGTCTCACTCCTTATGGCAACCCTCTAAGCCGACTACCACCGTCACAAGGTTTAAGGGTTGTTTGCCCGGAATCTTTTGCGATCCGAATTCTTTTCGACCCGGCAGTTTTTCGAAAAAGAGTCCCAAATAAGCCTTCTTGGGCGACTAGAGCTAACCCTGTTTGTAAACCAGGCCGGAGCGACTTTGGCAGTGATCAAGATGCGCGCACTGCTCCTACGAGCACAACCAGGAAAAGAGCCTGATTATCGTCGAACATGAAACGTTGGCAGCCAAGTTGGACCGGCCACTTCTGCTGTGCTTGCTGTGGAGCCGCATGGCCCCTTCCAAGACGCGAGAACCCCGCACTTTGAAAAATTGCTCATGCTCTTTGGAGGGTAGCCTTTACGTGACTTCCGACCCACATGCAGGGGCCCAAACTTCCACAATCTGGGTTCAAGCCCTGTTCGTACAACACCCTGTCGAGCTTCAAGTTTGAGAAAAGGTTGACCATTTCTGACAGGATCCGTGAGAGGAGTATGCGTACTCATGCCAACTACTCTCCTGAAACTCCCTGTCAGCCCAATAGCCCACTATTGACAAATTAGTATATCTTGGCAAATACAACCGTCTATCTTTGAAAGCGACAGCCAATGGGGGGTCCTCAGGAACTTCGCTGGGATTTTGTACTCTGGGTTCTGACAAACTTGCTTAAACCCCGTCCTTAACCCACCTGCCAGTACCACCCCGCGCCGGGCGCTGTTTGGCCGTCCTTCTGGTGCGCCCCGAACCAGCAGTCGTTCTGCGCGCTCTGCTCGCACGTGCTGTTCAGCTCCAGCCACTCAGTCAGGCTCGAGGCACTCGCGAGATGCGCCCCTTGATCCACGCACGCCTGCTCGGCGGTGTCCCATGTGAGCTGCGTCCGGTTGATCGTTAAGAGGAGGCAGGCGCCGCTGGGGGTGCGGAACCAGCGGTCGGGGCATTGGTTGAAACCTGGGGAAGGGAGGACAGCGTTGTGTCAGCGGAATAGGGGACACAGCGGGGGGTGCAGACACAGCGGTCAGGGCACTGAATGAAACCTGGTGGGGAGACACAGAAGCAGGATATCAGCGAAATGGGGGATAAACGTGCGAACTCAGGTGAAGCTTGAGAAAGTTAGGAACCAGCGGTCGGGGCACTGGTTGAAACACGTTGGGGGGGAGGGAAAAACAGCATGTCAGCGGATGGGGGTTGGAAATGCGAGCTCTCGCCGAGGTGAAGGGTGAGAAGAGTACGAGCCAGCGGCCGGGGCAGTGGTTGAAACCTGGGGGAAAAGAGACGAGAGGGGTATGTTTGCGAAATGAGGGACACTGCGGGGGGTGCTACACAGCTGGGGGGTCCGAACCAGCGGTCGAAACAGTGGTTGAAACATAGGAGAGAGGAGAACTTATGTCAGCGGGAACAGGATTTATGGGTGCGAGCTTGTGCTGAGGTGAAGAGGGAGAAGAGTACAAACCAGCGGTTGGAACCTGGGATCGGAAGAGAGGAGAGCGTTCAACCAGAAACGAGGGGTTGTGGGTGCTAGCTCGTGGTGAGGTGAAGCTTGAGAAGAGTAGAAACAAGCGCATGGGGCACTGGTTGAAACCTTTGGGGGTGGGGGAGAGGAGAGCAAAATGTCTGCGAAAGAGGGGTTGTAGATGTGACTTGATGTTGAGGTGAAGCGTGCGTACTGGAGGAAAGGGAGGGTATACAGAGCGACTGTGAGGAAGTCATCAAAGGAAGACAAAGTGTGCCAGTGACGGCAAGCCCTGGGCAGGGAGATGAAATAGGGAATAGTTGAAGGGGCTTTGACAATGGGAAGCCAGTGCTTGGGGGACACTCCGTAAAGCCTGGGGAGAGGACAGCATAAGACAGATAACTTACTGCAAAGTTGGGTTGAAGGAGGACAAGGTAATTGACAATATCAAAAGGTGATGGTGGCTACTGCTTCTGGCTGGAGTGCGTTGTCTGGGGTTCAGGGAGAACCAGTTCTGAAAAGAATCTCTAAAGGAACAGCGGGACTGATGACGACAGGGGACTGGAAATGGAACATCTTATTCCATGACGATTGTCTAGGAGCAAGGAATCAAGAGATGGAGACCAAAAGTCTTAGGGTTGACTGCAGGCCTTCTTGTGTAGGCAATCAGCTTGTAGGAGGTGAGGCTGAAACAAAGGGTCAGGATCTGTGCCGGTAGGTTAAGTTAAAAGGAGGAAGCTCCCAACTGGCTCCTTGCGGGGTAGCAAGGCGCTAGGAGAATTAGAGGATTACTTTTCTCCTTTTCTGTCCCGTTGATGTCCGGCATGTTCTAAAACCAAAGGTCCATGGGGGTTGACTTTACATTGTGAGAAATGGCCTACTCGACCTGGGTCAAAACTGGCCTTGGCAGCTGACGAACCTAAGAAACCCAGATGCTGAAGGCTTATCAAGGCTGGACAAGCTAGGCCTGTGATCCTGGCAACATGAAGAACGTGAATAGGTGACATAAAGGAGATGCGACCTGTGGGATTGTGCATAGACTGCTCAGCTGAGAACCACCAATTGGAGAATTTGCAGTAGCAATTAGATTCTCTCTGCCGCAAGCCAATGCTGCTTTGTCCTCAATGTACGTGCATCCTGAAAATAGTTGTTTGTGGCACAAGGAACAAAAGGCAGTGACTTTAGCCCATGAACTTCATTTGCTCGCCATACCTGAACCTAGTCTGTCTAGTTTCACTTTGAGCTGCTTTTTTGAGATTTTTTCATAATCCTGACCGGTATGTGCAGCTAGGCAGGACCCCTGATAGGCCTTGCTGATCATAGGAAGTTCTAATTTTGAAGCGTCGAAATTCTACATCAAATGCTCAAAATGCAGAAGAAAGGTGTGCCTTCGTTACATGTATCAATATACACAAGAGGCCTGTGAAACCGATCCTTGGTGAGTTCAGCTATTTTCCAGTTTGCCATCCGAAGGGTTTTAAATGGCTGCACTTCTGCGCATCCCAAAAGGGGTACTGGTTGCCAAGCAACGAGGGTGGCTTTCACAGGCTGATTCAAAGCACTGGGGGAATAGAGACCAAAAGCAACCCGGAACCTTCAAAGAAGAGAGACTCTATATTGACTACCGTCACAGTTTTCCACGCTCTTCCATTGTCACTAGCTAACCCATTGCAATTGCATGACTTCTCCAAATGAGCAAATTCAATCAGCTCGATACACAGGACTATGTTGGTCAAACCACTCACTTCGAAGCTTTGGTATTTGTGCGGCGCAAGCGGAGAGAATGGCCGCCAGCCACGTCACTAGCACAAACCCATTGCGAGCCCACCGCAAGGCAGCCTTGCGCCTCCTCATTCCTTTCCTGCCTGATTCAGCTACTAGCTTAACAGTTCCCCCTCCCTTGCACTTGACCTACCTACGGAGAATTGTAAAACTGATTGCTTCACCAGTAGAACCACTGAATGCAGTCTTCTGTTCAATAGCAGACCACTCTATGCAGCCCTTTCCAAACTCCCCATACAAGAGCTGGACAGAAGCAGCATTCTGCTGCCCTCTCAATGTAATACAGCTCGGTAGCTCCTGCTTAAACTCACCTAATCTTATAATGCAGAGCGCCGCCCCCTGACTCAAACCATTCTATCCTTGCCTCGACTACGCAATTTGATCCCTGTACTGCTCCTACCTACTTGTTCTGAAGGTCGCAGCCATTGATCCTGAACTTCGCTCCGATGAGTACATTTTAGCTATCTTTTCACGTGCATCCACATCACCAACAAGGCGAGATCTGGGGACAGCCTGTGGGGCCAGTCTGTCACATCTGACAACAGATATAACCACCATCTACATATACATTCCGATGCTTCAAGTTCCCTCCCTGCATGTGCCAGGGATGAAAGAACGAGGAAAAGATCGAGATTCGAGCTCCTTGCAAGCTGTTCATGCAGAGAAGAATCCTTTCTCTATCCATTCTCCGCATGAGAACAGCCATGGAGGCAGCCATGGCCTCTCCGGCGTGGTGGGAAAATGATTCTCGTTCCACAATCACCCTGGAGAAGAACGCCGAAAATGACGCACGTAGCGACGCTCTGATTGGCCGTTCGTTGCCGCCGGAAATAGCAAGTCCAGCGCGGCGCTGCACGTGCTCTATTCGGGCCGATACGATTAGCTCCGGTTGGCCGACTTTGATGTCATTGCGTCATTATTTCTGACGTCATGACGAGCACGACAAAGCTCGACCGACGTAACTTGGGATTCTCCGGTTTTACCGGTGTCAGGCGCAGGCTGCATAGCTAGCCTGTATCTATAAATTTCGTGCCTATACGCTATGCGTGCCAGCCTGAGCCTGTGCATGTCAGTGTGTGACTGACCGGACAGACCGCGCCGTTGTTAATTTAGGTATGCGTCGTTCGTGCAAGCAAAGGGTCAGTAAAGCTCTGTTTAATGAGGTACTGATATTAGAGAAATTTCAGTGGAAAGTCTACTTGCATATCAGTAATGCATAAATGGTCCTGCCATGCAGATATCGATTAGTGAAACAGCCATCCTGAGCCTGGTGAACTATGATTGATGGTCCTTGTAACGAATCCCGAGTCCGCAATTGCAATACTCAAAGCTTTCGATCACAGACAATGCTAGCAAAAACGATCCAGAAATACTAAAAAAATTGGACGCCGAAAATGACGGTCCCCTTTATGGAACGAGAGAATATATAATGATCTTGCAACACTCGACTTGCGAACAGTATGCTGGCCTCTTACAAGTAGTCAAAGACGCTAGCTTCAGAATGTCCCAAATCTACAGTACGTAGTTCGTCTTTTAGAACAAGGATCTAAACCAGAACAACATAACGTATAAGTTACGTAAAGCTACATTCAGCACTGTTGTTCGTGATTCTCAACGGTTCGTCTGTATTGTTGGTTAGTAGCAGTTGTACCTATCAAGGCAATCGTGCTGATCACTAACACAACAGCTAGCAGGCCCCCAGTATGTGTGAGGAGTCTGATAATCAAGTCAGCCAGTCCCGCTTTCCAACCCTCGCTCACAACAGCCAATTCGCTGCGCAAATCGACCAACCAATCGAGCAATTTTCATTCTCTGACCAGGCCCCGATTTGAGTTACCCCCCCTTTTTGGGACTAGGACTGCCCATTGAGTAGCTCAGCTGCCGGAACAAGCTGACAAACGAATCCGGGACCGCAATGGTGGGCAGCTCAAACTCATGCTGCTTTTTGATTGCTTCAGAGATGCACGACGCTGCCGCATCCACTTCCTCCTCGGTCGTTTCCCGCCCAACTGACAAGCGCAGAGTGCACGCCGCAAATTCGGGGGGGACGCCCATGGCCTTGAGCACAGGCGAGCCGTGCCCCCCTGAATGGCAAGCCGAGCCGGCGCTGCAGGCAACTAGAGGCGCGAGGTCGGCGAGGAGGCGCGGGCCGTCGACGCCGGACATGGAAATGCTGCGGGAACCAGACTCCCTTAATTAGAAATACGGTCATGATAGCAAGTTAGGGGACTTGTCCGAAGACTGCGGCTGTCATGGCCACGTGGCTTGACGTGGCGGCCTTGAGAGTGTGGGTCGGCTCCGATGCCGCTGCGAGTGCTTCCTCGTCAGATCCAGATGCGAAGGCAAGAGAGAATGAGAAAGGGTAATGTGAGTAAGGGGATAGCGTGCGCTGGAAAAGTGCCCTTTCAGTCGTCTGGCGACCAGAAGAGCTGCACTGAAGGCTCCTCGGTCGCCAGAAGTCTGCTCGCGTTCACAAGGCCCTTTCAAGAACCAGATACTGTTTGTCTCTGGGCGCTTTTCGGCATGCGCAACATGCAAAGCAGGTAAACAATTTGTGGAAGCATAGAAAACGTAGCTGGGCCCGGAGATCTAACGGCCCTGATGATGAGAACATAAGCTGGGCCGTAAGGGCATCCACAGCAGCTATGGCTGCAGGCGCTTTTAGACACACTTCTTACAATCGTCAGTCAAGCCGACCAACCTTCGTTCTCCTCAGAAAGGCGGGGCATTAGGACCTCCGAACGTTCAAAGTTCTTCAAACCCCTGAGCTTAGACCGAACTGACGGAACATGAAGAAGTGCTTCGAGTAACTAGATGCGCGAGAAAAGCCTCACTTGAGGGTGCTGGGCAGGCGCTTCGCGGCGTCAATGGGTCCGTTGACTTTGAGGGCGAGCCGCTTGCTGCCCTGAAAGCCGGACGCCAGGTTCTGCTGCAGCCGGGACAGCAGCCGGTCGCGGACGTCCGTTACGTGGGCCACGTTCCGGGCCATGTCCCGTCGGGAGACCTCGCACGCCTGCAGAGAAAGCAGAGTTTATTTTAGCCTGGACGGTTCAAACAAGAGTCGGAGCTTTCATCAGCCCAGTAAAGCGCTGACGGATGCGAAGCTGACTGGATGGAACGTCCGAAGCTGCTGAAAAGAGGTGCAGTGCCCAGTTAAAACAGTATGTGTGGTTGCCGCAGGCAGTCTGAAGGAGCGACCCAGTGTAGCTCTTTGTGCCGGTATCTAGTCATTGTCATTCGAACCTCTCAGTACAACAAGATTCTGGAATGAGGACTTGAGACGAATGCGCCGAGGTTGAAAGCAATGGTCGCAGTTCGTTGAGCGATCTTTAAGACGTGCTACTCAACCCTTTCGGTTGCTGAGGCTCTGAATCCACGGCAATCCAAAACTTGGCCATCCGGAGCCAAAGTTGGGCTATCAGCATTGCCGCATTGAAAGACTCGCACGAACGCGTCAGGTACGAGTATATTCACCATCCAATTGCTGTGCACCACCAGAAAGCTGCTGACATATAGCAACACGAAGAAGGAGAAGCGAGTGACTTCCTGATTCGGTCGCTCGGGCCTGAGCCAATGTGCCCACAGGCAGTGTTGCTTTGGTCGAATTCTCGGGAACTCAGTAATCACGAACACGCGACGCACCTCGATTCCAACGGTCAGCTCGCTGCCAGTATCTTGACGATTGCATTGTTTGTGACTGCCAAGTGCTCACATGCGATAGACTGCTCAGGACGAATCTCTTGACGGCTATCAGCTGAATTCGCCAAGGGCTCTTTGACCACGTGGGTCGAGGCTTGACGTCATCATAGCCTTGCCACGGCAAGTGGAATATGTATCTAGCTTCTTAGTAACACTAGTCTCACTGATGACTACTGGCTCAAAACAAAAGCACAGAAGCTAGCTGACTGGGACAACCCGGAGGTGAAACGTGTGGAGCAATCTCTCAATTGCAAGGGAAACCAAGTTGATCTACGCCCAGCCAAATGGAGAGGCTGCCAAAGGACGTGCGCTGAGCACTCAAAGTCCCATGGCTGCCCAACAAACATGTTTCCAAAAGCCAAGCGGCACAGTCCACGGCCCTTATCAGGGTTTGCTGACAATGTCTGCCAACGACCTGGATTGGCGTCGTCCAGAATCCAGGATTTTGAAGGCCTCCACAACAAGTAAAAGGAGGAGACGAAGTACAGCGGAAGTATCAGTTTTCAGTCGGGTTGTCGCGCAGACAACAATGAGCAGCACGTCCTTAGTCCGAGGATAAGAAGAGTAAAAATGGGCGTATGTAGATTGGCCAGGCCGGGCAGGACATCCTCACGAATCGCGGCACTTGTCGTTTGTCACAATGACTTGAAGACGACTACGAAAGCAGTTATGGCGAGCTGGATGTCAACATCGTCTCTCTTTTCAGATGCTGCCCGGCATGAGCCCGGTGATGAGCGAGACCAATTAAGCTTCTGATTTTGAACGGCAATCGATCCTCCTCCAGTCCTTGCAAGGTCTTTGCTGAGCCTCCGCAACGTTCAGGGCTTCTCTGACGATCTATGACGAGCAGGCCAGCGCTTTCTGTCATCATTGCCCTGTGGCGCTGACGGGATCAGAGAGAACATGGTGTGCAACATGCACTCTGCTTTCCACCGCTCATGCTGGTTGTTAAGACAGAACAAAAAAGACACAAAACACAGGCGAATCACTTCCGGCAAGCCTCTCTGAAGCTGGCAAACTCCCTTAGAAAATCCCAAACTCATCGAAGGTCAGAACGATGTACGATAGTCCGGACTTAATAACTGCATACATCATTCTCGCAACGGATTTAGACACCGGAACTTCTGACTTGCGTGTAAAGCCGTCCAAGGAGGCCGATCGGACAGCGTCACGGCCGCTAACAGAGACACGCTTATCGACCATGCGTTTCAGACTCGGGCCCAATACATCTATGAGCTACTCGCTGTGCTTGTAAGGGTCGCCATGCTCATCCGGGCATCAAAAGGCTCACTTTCTGGCCGTCTAGGCGCCAGACCTGCGGCATATCGCAGCCCAGGAACTCAGCAAAATAAACTGCTGCTTATACATACAAGATGCACAACGCATAGCTGACTCGGAAGAACCTTCAGCAGGTTCGAACAACCGACGTGTCAAAAAGAGCCACTATCATTTTTGAACGTGGGGATACTGGGTCTTCAAACACCACTTCATCTTCTCGAAGGAACAGCAAGCCACCTTCTTAACCGAAAGAGTATTAATTTTTGCAACGTTGTGTGCGAGGTGCCCAAAATGGCCTCTGAACAATCTGAGGCCAGACTAAAGCTCAGCGTAGCAGTCAACAATCCTGAAAGTCCTCAAAAGACTGCTCTACATATCACAAAACATCTAAGAATGCGAAACGAAGCCAAGCGTCGGAATGGCCTTCTGCTACGACGCTTGAAGAAAAGGCGAGCCAAGCTAACGGAAGGTTCGGGGCACGGCAAAGCTGCCGTTCAAAAAGTCCAATACCAGTCAGACCGATCAACCCTTTCTGACGTGGGTCAGAGGTCGCTCTCATCATTGCCTTTGAGAAGCCTAGTTAGTGAAGGGCATTGCTCATCATCCGGATGAGCGTCGAGTGGGTGGAGTGGAGGCCGGGGATCAGATATGTCTCGAAACTTTAAGGGGGTCGTTTTCAATACCCGCAGTTAGCCGTTGGCGGCATTTTTTTCAGCCGTTCCAAGAGAAGTACGCAAATGAAGACGAAAAAGAGCGTGAAGAGGGCTGACAGCGGTCTGCAAGGGGGCGTGGACTGGACTCTGTTTAAGGAAAGAAGAGGCAATGAAGTTACCGACAATACGGGCTTCGTGGTGAAGAGAAGGTGGCCCTAAGGTCAGCATGTATGGTCTTCATTGCCCGTTAACGAGTAACTAGGAGGACAGAAGAGTTACATGGGAGAGTCACACCATGGAAATCTCAATGGTAAACAGCTCAAAAAGAAGAGTGCGCATAATAAGGTACTTCAAATGGACCGCTCACCTTGCCCAGCCCCGCGATGAGCATGATGTTCTCCGTCCCCGCCCGGAACCCGCGCTCGTGCCCCGCTCCGTGCATCAGCTTCGCCAGCCGCGTGCCTCGCCGGACGATGAGCGCGCCGACCCCCTTAGGGGCGTACAGCTGCATAAGACAGAGAAATACACACTTGTACTCCAATCCACCTCTGTAACGGCATGCTAAAACGGGACAAAGGGACTGCACGGCTCGAGCGCGCTTCTGAGTAGCCAGGTGAGCCAGTTTTTGTTGACTGTCAAGGAGATTTCGGGCCATTGCCGGGACATCTTGTTTGCTCACTTCGTGTCAATCGCACCTGCTGCGCAAGCTGTTTTCACAAGGAAGCAGGCGCTAAGAATTGGACTCGACCAACTAGACGTTTTGAGGGGAGAATGTTGCCTTTCCCCGCTCTAGTGCCGAACCCTATTGAAAGTGAGAATTGCAGGCGCTGCGTTGGAAGAACGAAGCCTGTGCAAAAATCCAGGTTTAACAGATCTCGACGACAGTGAACAACAACACGGCAATCGGATAGCAGATTCGGTCCCCGTAATGAAGACGCTGATTGGCGCGATTGGCCACTGCGCCGAGCATTTCGAACAACAAGCACGCCTGTTATGCATTGAAAAGCATCCGGCTCCGCAACGGTGCCACCAAAGATCGTTTGCACGCAGCGCGACCACAGCTCCCTTCTCAGCCCGGGAAGAATTCTTATCTGGATTAGCAGGTTAATCAGCAAGGACGACATTCGATCAAGTCACGTTTCTGGAACGCCTGGATCCAGTGACACTCCAACGGTTGAGACTATGCCAACGAATGTCGGGCCCGTACCTTATGCCCTGCTATCGTCAGCAGGTCCACTTCCAGCTCGTCCCACTTGATGGGCACCTTCCCTATACTTTGACTCGCGTCCGTATGGAACACCACTCCCGCTTTCCGCAACGCCCGCCCAATTTCCGCGATCGGCTGTATCGCCCCCACTTCGTTGTTTGAATGCATGATCGAAACAATCAGCGTTTGTGATGCCTGACCGTTTCCTTGTCCCACCCCGTCAACCTTTCCGTCAACCTTTGCGTCAAAGACGCCGTTTAGAACTTTCACTGGACCCGCCTTTTCTGCCCCCTCCGTCTCTACTCCAGTCGTGCTTGTTTCTTCCACTGCACTTCTGTCGGTCATTATTGCCTTGGCAACCTCTACTGACTCTGGGGCTTGGCCCTCCTCTTTGATTCCATTTGTCACCTTCGACGCTTCACTGTGTTGGAAGGAATCATCCGCTGACGTCACACTCTCAAGCCGCCCCAAATCTCCGCTTTCGGCCCCCCCAAACGCGGCCGCAATCACCGCATCCGCATCCACCAGCCCCTGTGAATCGACAGGCGCAACCCGCAAGTCGAACCCCCTGGAGTCACGCAAATGCTCCATTACTTCCGTGACGGCGGGATGCTCGACTGCTGACGTCACCAGGCGAAACGCGGGGCCGCTGCGGCGTCCCGGGGGGAGGTGCGCGAGGGCGGCCTCGACGGCGCCCTTGATGGCCCAGTTGTTGGATTCGGTGCCGCCCGATGTGAAGAACACCTGGTGGGGAAAAGCGGAGTATGATTAGCACAGGACAGGTACAGTAGGAGCTTGTTCTTTGCCATACCCCTTCTGGCGTCATCTCGATAATCAATAACACAGACGAAAGGGCATGCTTTCTGTCCTCCCCGAATAACCCTTCTGAAATTGTCTTACAAACCATAAACTGACGCGAAAGATTGTGGACAGGAAAGCTAAGGAGAACAGCCAGAACAAGCTTCCTCTGCAGGGTTGTTTGACGCAATGGGTCAGTCCCTCCTGCACACCAGCTTGAGCAGACGCGCTGTCCAGAAAGGCCCACATGATGGCCCGGCATTCCGAATTAATACATCCAAACAGACAAATAAACCACGCACACACGACCGCAGGCCCTGAAGAGCAGTTCGGGGATAAAGGTAAATGCCAATGTATAACTTCACCTCATCCTCTGCGCAGCCTATGAGGTCCGCCACCTGGCGCCGCGCGTACTCAACAGCCCGCTTGGCCTGCTCTCCAAAGACATGCGTGCTTGACGGATTGCCCCAGCCAAAGCCCTGGAGGAACGGCAGCATGGCGGCCGATACCTCAGGCGCTGCAAACACGAAGTGAAAGGTGGAGTCGGAGTCTGTCTCTACGAGCTGCGGAGCATGCCCTGTGAGACTTGGGAGAGTCCTCAGGAGAACCTGAGCTCTGTCCTGAATTTGCTGCATAAGAGGGGCTTCAAAAGCTTATGTACTGCTTCCAATAGATATTATAGGATGAGTCATAGGATGAGTGAGCGGCAGGGAAGCCTCTGCCTTCGAGACGAAAATGATGTAGGTCGAGCATCCTGCCAAGCAAAGTAAGATCAGGTGGAAGGCTGAACCCTCAATTGGTAGGTCGAGGAAGAGGGACGCACAGTTACAGGGAACAGGCTAACCAAATCCATGTGCCCCTCGAAAGCAGACTCTCTCAAAACATTTACCCGTTGAAGTCAGAAGAATGCTGAGAACGCTTCCAAACTGTTGGTTTCGAGTAAGAGTAGCCTTCTGGACTCTTCAAAGACCTGAACAAACCTTGCTGATATGAAGTCTGTTTATGTGCACGCCTGAAGAAAGCTGTCAGTGCCGGAGGTGCCACTATGACCTTTTTTAGGGAAGTGCCCTTTAGAGGTCGTGCAAGATCAGGTTCTTTTGCGTGTAATCTAAGAACAAGAATCTGTTGAGGAGTTTAAGGACATGCTTTTGAATCTCTACGCTTTACGCCCAATGGGCATAAGTTAAGTTGTCGTGTCTAAAAACCCAATCGTGAGACAGCCCATTTGAAGTGCAGAGTAGACCACTTTCAGAGGGTACTACCAGCTCAAGCCACAATGAGTTGTATTAACCATATGAAGATCTGTAGTGAATGATAGGTTGCCCTTAGATGATTGGCCAGAAACCATATATAATCTGGGGCTATGAAGGTACGAGAAAATTCTGGTCGCTTTCCTGGTTTCGCACCACAGCAAAATCATGCACTTTCGTTTGAAGAGGTGCAAGCACGAATGACAGAATCACACTGATTGTGTCAGCCACAGAACAGCCACACGTGGCAACATTCATGTGCAGTTCCCCAATGCACAATGCAACAAGGACCAGCGTACGAAAACACATTTCTGGAAGATACAAATCAGGTGAAGCAGCCACACAACATCATCAGCATTGGACACTCCAGTCTCAGCCCTAGCAAAGTGAGATTCACAGCCTGGTTCTGAGTCTGTGATAGTCTTTGCGTTGACCAGCGACACATTGTATTATGCTCTCTGGCTGACAAATCTTCGACCCACTTTAGCAACCCAAAGCACGACATCTTGTGATGAGCAGGAGAGGATCGTTCAGAGCTGCTCACATATGGGCGTTGTTGCATTGTAGTCCAAGTAGATTGGCGCACCCTCCAGCTTCTCCCACCCCAACGGATGCCGCTGCGGGTGCTCCAAAGAGCTGCTCCCCGTGCTGGCGTCCATTTTCTTCCAGGACAAACCTGATCAAGACGTCCAACCCTAGGGTTTCTTGTTGAAGGCGGACTCAGCTGAATTTCTCAAAAGGGCCTCCCAGGCGCCTCCCTTCCTGTCGTTCCTGGCAGCCTTTGATCATTGATGTGTATTACCTTTCCGCTGGATTGAAACAACCGTGGCGGAAGTTACCGGCCGGAAAAAGCAGCGCCGGAACCCTCAGCGTGCGGGAATGGTTGACCACTGACTCTGAGTTACCCAGTATCCGGCATCGTTACCGCGCAGTTTCATTGTCGGGATGCCAGCTGGCACCACATTGCATTTTCGTCAGCATTCAGATTTCAGAAGCCAAGAAAGCTGAACGCACCCCTGAAAGCAAGACGATCGTTTTCGCGAGACAGGAAGGCGTGTGTTTTCCTTATGGCGGACCAATCTGCTGAGCAGCGGCTTCTGGCCGCTGCCGGCGAAGGTGATGAAGCTACTGTCCGCCAACTATTGGAGGGCGCCGAAGACATTGCTAAATATCAGGAGGAGGAGGAAGGCGCCAGCGCCCTCATTCTGGCGGCGAAGCAGGTGAGAGCTCCATTCGACTTGCCCAATCCCCATATACCCCCCAGAATTTCTCTGCTGCTTTATTTTACACCGGCGCCACGTCGTCTGTTGGTGGCAGATTGAGAATGGGCACCAAAGTTGGCCAGCCAAATACCGTGGTCACTGGTGGCCTTTCAATTTGGAATGGCGACTCGCTGTTTAAAGCTGGTGGTCTCAGAGGTTTGTGCGCCACCACCCCTGCATCGCCACTGCCCATGCTTTTCGGTTGAACAACCGATTCACACTTGTTCGACAGCATTTGCCTTATGCAATGGCAGCCCCTCCAAACGCCCATCCATTTCGTCGGTTGTTGCAGATATGTAATGCAGTTCTTTCTCTCTAGATACTCAGACACCCGACGATAGACACCATTGGTGCACGTTTGTATTCAAACAACTTGCCCCCCAAGATTTGATCCATGCCAGTAAATCAAGGGCCTTGCTTGATGAGTAAGAGAAACCACCACAACCGGCCAGGTGGCAGTCTTCCAAAGAAAGCTCACAGGTACATGTGCCTTAACGTCAAGTCTTTGAGCCTCTTCGCAAATGTACCTGCCAGGGTCATGCCAGCATTGTGAAGCTGTTGCTGGAGGCGGGGGCGCCGTGGAACGCCCTCGACCGGAGGGGCAACTGCGCGGGCGACTATGCAATGAACGAGGGGCACCAAGAAGCATACGAGGTCCTCCTGAATGCAGGTGGGCAGCAATGTGTTGTATTTAGCATGTTGCATTTGGGCTGCAAAAAGTCCATGTAGAGGGAACATGTCTGTAGTTGCCTTTCGGGTTCTTGAGCTGGTCAGAGCACGTTGTATGCTGTTACATGACATTAGAAACCACAATGGCGGATCTGTCATTACCAAAGCCTATGATGGAGAGTGCAAGATAGCGTCACAAGGGCCGCGTTCTGGTGCACTCTGTACGGACACAGATCTTGCTGTTGTATGGGCCAGCCCCTACGTTCGGCTATCCGACATTCTGATCCGTTCACAGATGATAACCTCTACTGAAGTCGTTTTGTTGTTGATTTCAAACTCACTCAGCTACGGTCCCACCTCAATAAGCGTCCGTCTACGAGCTCAATTGCATCCCAATTGATAGCCATTTCAAAAGCCTTACTCACTGCTAATGCAGCGGTCCAGGCAGACCTGGTGCTGGGCGCCTTGCATCAGACCCTTGATCAAACCATATCCCGATAACCCATCAAAGTCACAAGCCCGTTTTCATGGGCCTCATTGTAACCCACATTGTTTGACTCTAGCGGCCCAGGCAGAGCTGGTGCTGGGCGCCCTCCATTAGGACAATCACGCATCTCAATAACCCATCAAAATCACAAGTTTAACCTTTATTAGACAATGTCTTAACCACCACCTTGGTTAAGTCCAGTGGTCCCGGCGGACATGGGCTGTTCAGATAACCCTTCAGAGTCAAAAGCCTAGCTTTTATGGGCAAAGTCTTAACCACCGTGGTTAACTTCAGCGGTTTAGGCGGAGCTGGTGTTGGGCGCCCTGCATTGAAATGCTCACGCTTCTTGACATGTCACCAGAGTCACGAGCTTAACTTTGTTGGCAAAGTCTTAACCCACCTTGATTCATCTCAACGACTCAGGCGGAGCTGGTGCTATTTAGAAAACCCATCAGAATCACAAGCCTAGCTTTTACTGGCAAAGTCCTAACCCAAGTTGGTTAAGTCAGCGGTCCAGGCGGAGCTGGTTCTGGTCCCCTTTGCATCAGACCTTACGGGTAATCAATCCTGACGACTAGAAACTTGGTCATAGGCCTAAACTTATATCGGGAAATTGCTTAACCAACCTGGCTTAACTCCAGCGGTTCAGCTGGAGCTGGTGCTGTTTAGATAACCCATCGGCGTCACAAGCCTAGCTTCAATTGAGCAAAGTCTGAACCCAACTTGGTTAACTCCAGCGGTTCAGGCGGAGCTGGTGTTGGGCGCCCTGCAGCGGCGGGCACGCAGCGGGGCCGAGGCCTCAAACAGCGGGTACCTCCAAGAAAGGGTCAAATACGACGATGATAAGCTGCTGGATGCAGAGAGTAACGGAGTCATGATGGAGTGGGAGCGGCCGCTTATGGAGAGCCACGCACAGGTGGGTTCGGTAGTCCTTTTCCACTGTCTGACGATCTTGAAAGGAATTTTAGTGGCGGCTTCAGGCTGTGTTCCTCAGGTTTATTGGTCCATCTGGTGCAACTGGGTATACTCGAGTAGCAATCAACCTTGCGCCACCTGTGCATTGATCCGTTCGGTTTGAAGGCGATAGAGTCGAATGACCTGATGGCTCGATCATAAGGATACCTTAGCAGTCATTCGATTGGCCCAATGAAAGACTCCCTATCGATGGCTCAGCGCGATTTTTGTTTGACCTCACAATGAGTCGCCAAACTGAAGGAGAATCGAGCTGAGCCGTGCCAGGGTTCGGCGGAACTGTCTGTAGGATCCTCTGAACGGATCTTCAAGAGTTTTTCCCCCTACAGGACGTTCAAGACTCTCGTAATGATTGCTGAACGTCGAAACTTGGTTCGGACGCCCGACAGACCATTCGGTATGCAATCCGTAACGCGAATGCAAGAGGCCGAGATCTTTTCAGCGGCGCAAACTCACACATTTACATTTCTGTGCAGGCTGTATGTTTTTCGGGGGGCGATGTGCTCAACGTCGGCTTTGGGATGGGTCTGGTCGACACCGCGATCCAGAAGCGGAATCCGAAGTCGCATACGATCATCGAGGCACACCCGGGCGTGTACGAGAAGATGCTCAAAGACGGTCAGATACATCCTTCTCTATCGCCTGGACTAAGGCGTTTGTCGCGCGTTCAAGGGCGTACCAAATCGGAACGATTCATTTGTAGCTGACTCCTTTGTTACTACGTTATAATGCAGTCTTCAATGGGTTTCCAGCAACAGAAAGTCAACAGCTTCTGCACTGGGAAGGGCGGCGGAATGCTGACTCGTCTATGAAACTGCCGAGCAAGCGCGTCAATTAGGATGACAATGCCTCTTCGCATCGCATCCTGCTTTTGCTCCCAAACTCAGCGGTTCTCTTTAAAGCGCGGCTGAACCTTATGGTTGTCAGCTTACGTACGCAGTGTTTCATTTCCTGCCAGCTCTTGGCCATCAGAGAGGATTGTAATTGATTAATCCCAGCTCCTACACCTCCTGCCTTAAGCTTACTGTTCTCTGGAATGAGCGGAACATGGCAAGACTATCTCGTACTCTCTGTATGTGCTGTCTTCAAACGCTAGAAGCTAGCGACAGAAGTGCCATCTACAGTAGATTCCGTGAATGTTTCTTTTGGCAAGTAAAGCCTGTATTCTCTGCCGGGTCTGGGCTGCAGCGACTGCAAAGTGCCTTTTTCAGATTTTGGCCAACACCAAACGAACCAGCGAAAACTCCAAAGCAAGAGAGTTTGCAGTCACAGCGGGACTCTGAAAAGCATCGGGTTAAATTTCAGGTTGGGATAAGAAGCCGGGCGTCCGGATTTGCTTCGGACGCTGGCAGGACGTCCTCCCGCAGCTCGGACGCTTCGACGGCATCTTCTTCGACACGTTTGGCGAGTACTACGACGACCTGCGCGAGTTCCACGCCCATTTACCAAAGCTTTTGCGCCCGGGGGGCATTTACTCTTTCTTCAACGGGCTGTGCGCGGACAACGCGTTTTTCCACGTGGTGTGCTGCCAGCTGGTGCAACTAGAGATGGCGAGGCTCGGGTTTGAGACCACGTTCGTGCCGCTGCCGGTGAATTCGGCGGTGGGCGATGAGGTTTGGGAGGGGGTCAAGCTCAAGTACTGGCAGCTGGATGCGTACTTCCTACCGGTCTGTCAATATGAGGATAACGACGTGGAGGGGAAAAGTTCTCAACAAACGTGATTAGGTGTTGCCTTTAAAGTCTGGGCTCGGTTATTCTACTCAGCTTTGAAAGATTGTCGCAAATGCAAAAGACACCTTGCCCGCCCATGTGCACGTGCAGTGCACTAAAAGTGGACCACAGTGGATGTGTATGGAAGTAGGTTTTGATCTAGGTTGGGTTTCATCGCCGCCCGCAGGCAATAACGGTTATTGCAGCCCGCTCCCCTCGCGAGCGTGCAGCCTTGGTGGCGTGCACCTTACACCCTGGACCAGTGCCTTTTATGGTATAGGTCGTGTGGCTGCGGCCATGCAACAGTGCTTTCTACGTACTAAACCACATATGCAAATGAGTCGAATTGCATGCCAGGATTGGCATTGCACACTCTGGAACATGATCGATCAATACAGCATCATACGGCATTTGCGTATACGGTATGTACAGGCATTTCACATGTGGCATAGCATGCCATGCATGCACCTAGCTAAATGATGACATGCATGTGGAGAAAGTTGTTTCCGCAACTATAACGCGTGCTCGCGTCGGCCCGCTATCCTAGATTGGCCGGCATGCATATACCTATCTATAATGCATGGCGGCCTAGCTGAATTAATCGAGTTGAGCTCGGCGCGCCTCCAGTCGGACTCGAATATGCAGATTAACCGTCAACTATATCAAAAAAGACTGGGCTCGACCAATGAGATTCTAGTGCATGCTAGCTATCCGCCGCCGCTATATCCAGCGGGCCCCGCCAATTGCTTCAAAAGAATGACGAACTCGAATCCAACAATCGACCACATGTATCTCGTGACTCAACTCGAATAACCAATAATCAAAATCCAGTATGTCCGAGTATGACGCTGGTATAGTGGCAGTCCAGTAGCTAATCCAAAACTCTTACTCTTCATATCCAGCGCACTGCTGTCAGTCAAGTACGATACAATCCGCAACAATCCGACAAGATGAATCGTCGAGTTAAGGTCCTTTTTGTCGCACCTCCTCAAAATCCCCCCGCTGCGCATCCCCCCCAAGCTTCGCTTCCCGTTTCTCCACCGCTTGCGCTTGAGCGTCAACGCTTACTGTCTCTGCCTCCACCTCCAAACCAGTCTCCGTTTCACTGACTAACCCATTTTCTACCCCGCTTTTTACCCCTTCCTGGGCTGTTGCACCGCCTTCTTGCACCTCAAGCAATGTCTCGTCCCGAGATTCTGGTTCTGGGGGCGCTGGCGGCTTTGTGTGCTCTAACGGTTGAGCGGGGTCGACGAACTTGGCCTGAGTCAAATTCCTGTTTGGATCGGGGAACCTGGGAGCCGAGAATGGAATAGCGTGAGGCGGAGCGGGCTAAAAGCACATTGACAAACAAATTGAAGAGCTATAGACGCGCACAACCCGTGAATGATGAAAGGTCGACGGGACACAGGTTATAGTGGACAGAGCACCAGAATTGAAGGAACCTATTTGCATTATGCATGGCACCGGTTTGGATCTTGAGTGTCGATACAAGTTCAGGCAGTTGGAAAGAGCAACATCTTTTTGGGCCACAAAATTTCTCGGGGCTCCTGTCCCGACGTCGAAGCGTTCCGTTGTAGAAAAGCAACCGCAGATTGTCCCAAAAGCAAATAATCGAGCAACGGCACGTGCTGCCGTTTCGACCACAAGCAACACCCGCTACTTTGCGAGCGAGCAGCACGTTGGAGTTTGAGTATCAGGGACAATCCCCATTGCCAATCTGCAAGGTCCCTTTCCAAAGTTTGTCACACCATACTGTTCCTCCTCGGAATGCGCCGCGAATACAACACAACAACAGGACAACCCGACGCTTGCAACTTCAGTCGGAAAGCCGTTTCGTCGGCGCACGTAGCCCTCACCTGCCCGCCTGCACCTCCGCGCAGATGTGGAATGACGTCATGTTGACGAGGTCGATCCCGGCCATGTCGAGGAACTCCTGCAGCGGGCGCACCTTCCCCAGCCCGAACCGCTCCAGCTCCGTACGATCGAACTCGGCGTCGGCGGGAAGGGGCATCCCGAGGATGTAGCGGATTCGCCGCGCGCTGATTTGCTGGATGCGGTAGCGCTCGCCCCAGTCTATCTCCCAGTACTGCGCCAGAAAGGAGCGGTTTGGTGCATTTAGTATCTTAACAAGAGATGGTCAGAGCAACGGGGCAAAATTTGATGCTCCGAAAATTCGCCCATTGTTGTGGACGAGGAGAATGTTCGCCGGTCGAACCAGTAATCAGAATCAGCTTCCTTACTCGGCCCGAATGTGAAATTGGCCCGATTCTAATGAGATGCACCGAGGTGCAAAGTTCGCAACGGATGAAGGTGTGAAGCACACGAATCGGAGCGAAGACTGCACGCAAGTACCTTTCGGGGGGGCAGCAGACACGGGTGGCAGGTGAACACTGGCCCCAAAATTGAAGAACCATAAGACCCCAGGACGCGGATGCAAGAACTGAGCAGCCATCCGCAATCAACCGCCCTTCCGTTGGATTCCCAGAGGAAACCTACGAAAGGAGAGGCGCCGAAGAGGCTGCTCACCTTGTTCCGCTTATACCGGCTCTCGTACACGTGAAAGACGATGTCCGTGAAGGGCGCGTATACGTCGTAGCCCCACGTCCATAAGCGGGCGGCCGTCGAGAACTCCTCGCCGTCGAACAGATAAGGGGTGTAGGGATCGTACGGAACGTCCTTGATTGCCTGGGTGGTGGAAAAAGAAATGCCGGCCGTCCAAAAGGGCACCTTGATGGGGTGCCCCGGGTTTCTGACGAACTGGGCGGATTCACACCTGTAAAGAGTTGGGTTACAAGGTGGGTGAGAACAGGCGCCTTGCGCCCAAGGGACAAAAGAGCACCTTGATGGGGTGCCCCGGATTTTGACAGACTGGGTGGATTCACACCTGCGGAGAGTTTAGGTCAAAATGTGGGTGGAAACAGGCCAGGAAAAGTCTTTGAGATTGCGTGCCTCTCATGGGGCTGCTTGTTCGGAATCCTGACGGTTGAATTCGTTGCCCGGTGGAGGGTCTTGAGGTTCAAGCCATCTGTCTCCTCTTCAGGCTGCCGCTTTCCATTCACCTGATTGTGGCTACACGAAAATCCTCTGTGGAAACTGGTGTAGAGACAATTGGACGTCCGCTGAGCTCCATCATCAAAGGACGTCAATACGGTTCAAGCATATAAAATGCTTCGGTTCCTGAAACATCCTTGATTGTTGTTCATTTGGCAATCATTGCTTTAATTGCTCGTGCTTCACGCATGTGGAAATAGTCACTGGTATCTTCAGCAACCTAGCATTTCTCCGACAAAAGTCCGGGGCCCAAAACCCTAGGGTAAGCAGCTGTGTGAATACGCACCTGGGCATGTCCGATGCGTCATGGACGTATTTGATCTGACAGATGATGGCCACAATGTCCGGAATGTAATCGAGCTCAAACCCTTCCAACGGCGGGAGCGGCCCATTGGGGCTCATGTCCGTCTCGTCGATCCTCCGGTAGTCGACGGCCTCGGTCATGTCGAACATCATGGGCAACTGCGAAGAAGTAGTGTCAAGATTAGGAGTGGCATAGCTGTGCAAAAAGCTAACACAAATGAAGCGGATCGAAACTCATTCTGTAACGCGGAATGTGCGGCAGAGGGATGCGTCCGTTTGTAGTCGACGGCCTCGGTCATGTCGAACGTTGTGGGCACCTGCTGAAGGATATGGTGTCACAACTTTGTGTAACGAGGTTGTGCGGGAATGCTTGACACGACGTGAATCGTCTCAAAAGATCTGGATAGGAACATTCTGACGAGATACTTGCGGCAGAGGAGACCGCATGGTCGATATTCCGAAAGTCGACGAACTCGGTCTTGTCGGAAAGCATGGTAACCTGCAAACGGAGGGGGGGTGCCAAAAGTGTGAGAGGCGGGGTTCTGCAAAACGGACGCAACGTAGGTCGGACCAGACATGGTTTTGCTAGAAGAAAGTGACAAGAGATATGTTGATGCGCAAGCAGTGGACGGCTTTCATCGTGTCGAACACCAGTGGGACCTGCGGAAAGTGTTATCGAGAAATAGACCAGCGGGCTAATGCGAAAGGTTTGACAATCCCAATGCGGGACGTCGAGAGAGGGACGCTGCGAAAGAAACGAATGTCAGAGCTGCATTTCGCACGTTTTGACACTACCTGGGTCATCTTGAAAGGAATTCTTAACAGTTCAAAGTCGAGATCACTCGACCATTGTCGGCATGTGGTTGAAGGGTCTGCGCGTGAAGCACTCGCCTAACCGCGTCAGACTGTTAACTGGGGGAAGAACTGGATCTCGACAGAGTCAATTCAAATGAGGGTCTTGACAGGTGGTGTGCAAGCAAGCGAGCACGATATTTGGCGAGGCCACATATGAAATGTAGGCTTTACTCGTCGTCAAATGGACACGCCCCCAATAATTCAATTGCGGCTGGACTCAATACGAGCTTGACAAAGACAACGGTCGTCCAAACGAACACGAGGACCTTACTAGATTCTGAGATGGTCTGAAGGTGTTCGTAACTGACAGTGACCCCTTGGCCGCATTTCTGCTGACAATATCTCAGCTTTGATGACGAGGATCCAGACCCGTCGCTTTCTGCGTGATAAAGCCTGACACCTTCGCGCAGGGATGGGAAAGAGATCTTTTCGCAGCCACGACTTCCCCTTTCACATCTCCCGCTGCTTTTTCTCCATTTTGAATCAGCTTCTACCCAAGTGACCGCCATAGACTCACAATGTTAGGATTCGCAAACATTTTGAGGGCTTCGCAATTACACAAAGCGAACCCGCAAACTCGGGCTCTCGCACAAACCGCTAGAGACGGCTTACCTGCACCACGCCGTCCCCTTTGGGCACTTGCGGATGCGGCCGCTTGAGCCACTCGGGCATGCGCGTGTGTGGCACGGGGTACGTCCCGCTGATCACTGCCTTGGCGTTGCCGGTGGCCTTCCAGTTGCGCAGGATCTCGACGTCCCACGCCCAGATGAAGTGGCTGTGGCTGTCGACCTGCAATTAATGTGGGGCCTTGTTTGGCAGCCGCTCTGGAGTTCGACGTTCTAAAAACGTAAGAACGTGAAAGTGGGTCACGAAATTGAAGGCGTTGTCAAATCCCCACCAACGGCAAAAGCAGAGGAAAGAGGCGGTCCCGAGTTCGGCCAAGAAGAAGAGTGAAAGTTGATCCTGCGAACAGAAAGAGTTGCCTTTTTTGAGGTCGTTCATACCAAACTTCGGGGCATTTGTACACTACATACACGACGTCGGTGCTTGTACTATTGCGCGAGCTTGGGAGGCTTAGAGTAGTGCAACAACAGACTCTTCGTATCCATGATTCGTAAGAATAAAGTAGCAAAGAGAGACGTCACAACCAAATCTAGTCACAACAAAACTCGCAAAACGACATTGCAAAACGACATTGATGTCTACCTAATCAGCGAACCCACATTTGCAGAACTCATTCACACTGGCCCACGGGAGGAATGATATAAGTAGACCGCTACGATTCACATTCCGGGCATTCAACGAGCTGAAGCATCCCAGGCCCCATTGCCCGCTCTGTACCACAACCGAGCCACACAGTGTCGAAACATTCAAACACGTCCCTCATCAGCCAGCTTCCTCACCTGGAGAAAAAACGTTTGATCTCCGACCAGCGTTTGCGTGTAATACCGTGCAACAGTGGGCCCCATACCCTCCATAAAGCCGACCCGCTTGATCGCCACACGCTTCAGACCCGTGCAGACTTGCGCAATCTCCTCGGGGCTCGCCTTGAACCATGGCCGGTTGGCCTTCTCCTCCGGGGAAGCAAGCACCATTGCAGAGCGGTTCTGCAGGGGATAACCTAGCTCGGTTAGCTAGGTTCCGAAGCGACCAACCAAGCTCGATTGGCGATGGTTTTTCAGGAATCGAGCAGATGTAATGGAAGGATCCCCAGGCAAATCTGGGCTAATGGGGATTTCGTGAAAGAAATGTGGGTTGATCGACACTGCCGCTGACATGGGTTGTTTCGGAGCGATGCTTAGCTCTTTTGGTGGTGAGAGTTTCCTAACCAAGAAAAGGGGATTACTCGACGGTGGTGCTCACTGATCTGTTGCTGAAAGAGAATACCGTCTTGTAAGTTGGTGGTATGAGGTCGTTTATAAAGTGTAGTGAGGTGCTGGGGCTCTTTGCAAGAACTTCCTACTCTGCAGTGCGGACAAGAGCCATTTTGGAGTCGGGATCAATGTCTGAGAATAGAAATCTTCAAGCTAGAAGAACAGGTAGAAGCAGGTCCTGGGGACAGGTGTAACGTCGAGAGACGATACATTCTCCACTCTATCTCAAAGGCCGGGGGCTGGGTATTCAAGGATGAGGCTGGGATGGGCGCCCCACAAGTAAAGCACAAAGCGCCAGAATAATTTTCAAGCACTGCAAAAAACAGCCACATTGGTGCAGATAAGATTGCAGGTGTGCCAAGATGCCAGCAAATTGAACCACACTTGCTCAAAAGGTCCACAAAGGAAAGTTGTGCACATGGCTTGGGTCAAAGTCTGGTATTATCAAACTTTTTAACGTAAAAAAGACAGCACCAGCTCCAAGAAGCGTGCATTATGCACATAGTGTGGCCCAAGCGTTTCACAATGCCACCACCAATCCGTGACACTCCATCATAAGTACCTTGAATTGCAGACTGATTTATGCAATGCTAGCCACGTTCTTGACTACAGACCAAACCAGGTTACATATCCCTCACCTGTGGGGGACAAATCACATGCTGAAAAGCGAGGCAGTCTTGGTCCTCATCCGCGTGCTGCTGGTAAATCCCCAACGAGACCCGCTCCGGATTGGCGGCCATAGAGAAAGCGGACCAGACGGTGTCCTGACAGTCTGGGTCCCTATAGGCAGCCATACCAACGAAGATTGTCCCATCCCAAAGAACAGGATCACCCTTCGGCCTGTCTCCATTGAAGTCCCGGGCACTCAACAGGCGTGAGCGCACCCTCCCCCTCGGGGTTTCCTCTGGCACTGGCTCCCGCTCTCTTACTTGTACTTGGGAGATTTCAGTGTTGTCTTCAGCTGGTTCTTCTACTGATTTGACTTCAGTGGGTTCAACCTCCTCGAGGCGATCACCCTTCTTTTCTTCTGAGGATTGTGTTGACTGCCCTTCAAGTGTGTCAGTCCCATCTTCAAGAGTCGTCTGTGCCTGCTCAATGCTTTCCCCCTCCACATTTTCTAGCACAGGACTGGTGATCTCTTTCAAAACCTGATCCTCCTCTCCATTTAGCTGCACCTTGCCCCCCACAGCAGCGAGAGCATTGGTCCGCGCCGCTTGGTCCATGGACTCAAACACAGAGCTCGTGAAGTTGCCGGGCATGTGAGGAGCAAGAAACAAGATCGAAACCCACAGGATCACGAACCCAATGATCAGCTTGCGCTTTGGCAACCCGCAGGGACTGCAAATCCCCGCCCGCTTTGCCATCTTTGCGGAGCGCCTATCAGCACTTCCTGGAATGGGCAATCGTCAGCATGTCTAAGGGAGGCAATGGCATTCGTAGGTTAGCTAATGCCGCCTAGCACCCCAATTGCTCACCGTTGACCAATCCTGAACCATGCTTTGATTTTGAGCGAGGAGCTCAATACAGCACTGCTGCAAGAAGACTGGTCAGATTAGGGTTTCCATCAATGCTCATATTTGGCAAGTGGATTCAGAAGGGTAGCGGCGTATACTGCTTCTATAAGCGCACCCGTACACGGTGGTTTTTGAAAGAAACATGGTTTGAAATGAAGACCTCGGAGTCCAGTTGGTCCTCTTTTCAAAAGTTCATTCTCCACCACATATTGAGAACTTTCAGCTGGTTCATAAGAGGATTGCCTGTAGCCTTTGCTGGGGAATACTACGAGCGTATGATTGTTCAGGTCATTTGACAATGGCGCCAGTCCCCATCTTCCACAATGAGAGCAAGGAGGAGGGACTCAGCCCAGGGAGGCACTCGCTGAACTTGACGAGAGGATGACGCAGCGGCAGACGCTTTGAAGGAGCTTCTCAAGATCTGATCAGTGCTGTTTGAGTGGCACGCTCACTATGGCTGAAGATGGCGCGAAGAATCCTTTTGACCCGACCGCGGAGGAGGACCATTCGGTCGTCGAGATGTCATCCATAGCTCTTGACTCGCCAAGTGCCAGGCCCCTTTCACCAACTAGGAGGAGAGTGAAGATCGCAAGTACGGTCTCAGATGCCAATGGGACAGGTTCGCCAGCTAAGAGTGGGTATGAGAGCATCACAAACGCCTCCCCTGCGGAGGGTGCCACCAGCAGTCCTAGGTGAGCATCGATGCAGATTCCAAGACTTGCTTGCATTTGCACGCCATGGAAAGAGACTGAGCACCATCACCTGTGCTGCGGATTTAAGCTTACCTCAAGGTGAATCCATGTTGCAGGACGCAAGATTGAATACGTGCCGGGCTCGGATATGTTGAATTCTGCACACTTTTTGAAGATCGTTTACACTAGTTTCAACCAGTTCAGCCGGCAGAATGGTGTTGAGCTAGTTGGAACCCCAGTCCCACTGAGATTGTCTGTCAAATGCAGAGCTCTGTCTGAACTTAACCAAAGGCTTTCAACGGCCAGTAATGCCAAGGTCTTTCTGGTCAAACACTCTCCGTCAGCTTGGATCCTTGCGAGTCGCACTTATGCGCACCCATCAAAAATGAAGAATGAAGTGTTGGCACATAATTTTGATTAGTCGTGAAAAGAGTTTGTGCAGATGAGATTTTGCTGTGGTGTGCCCTTCACCTCCTGCCTTCTATCAACGAGCACAAGCTGCAAAGATTGACAAAGAACTTTGTCATGGGTCTGCAGGTCCCCCTCTCTTCGGATCAGAATTGAGAATGAAACTCCAAGGAAAGATGGTGGTCGGGGCTCCTCAAAGGGTGGGCAATCCAGCTCCGCCGGACGCGAGTCGCTGTCTCCGGCGCACTCCTTCAAGGGGGAGGGATCCAAGCGGAAAACCAAATTTGAGCTTTTCGAACTTGACAACCTGGTCAACGCGTTGGGGCTTCGAAGGTGAGTTGGAATCCCAAAATCTGACTACAGATCTAAAGGATGTCAGTGCTGGGGACATCATCTACCGTGATTTGATTAACCTGTAGCTTCCCTGTGAGCGCCAGACGCTTTCCATCATTCTTTCTTCTGTGGTGAACTACCTCCATCAAGGCTGCCTGTTATTGTTTTGAAAGGGGCTGCTCTTGTTCCCTTAGCACTTGGCAGAAGTTATCTGGGGAAGATAACAGTACTTTGCTCTAGTGTCCAGATTTACCGTAGTGTCCGATTCAGCTGTACCTGGATATGGGCCGATTGCATATGCTCAAGATCCATTGGCTTTGTCACTTATCAGGCACTTCAATTGTGGGTTGCAGTATGGCTGGGCAATCCGGAGGGGATGATGCTGAGGAAACGGAAGGTTTGACGACGGGTAGACGAGTGAGGTTCAAGCTGCTTCGAACCGTCAACTTGCTGCGCTTCTCCTTCAGTCTGCTTCTTCTTATGTGACACTGCCTGATGCCCCTTTGTAGATTGTCCTGCCGAAATCATTGGAGTTCGATTCTAAGGACTTCAAACGTTGATAAGTGCTAATCAACTTCCGGACCCTATCCATTACACCCCTTCTCCAATCCTGAACCCCAGGGGCAATAGAAGAGTTGACCGTCGAAGGTGCACGCTTCCAGTATCTCGAGTCACTTACGGCCCAAGGACTGAGATGCCAGAGAAACGACTTCGCCATTCTTTGATGCAGCGGCGCGCTTCCCTTGGCACTGTCATGGGCGTCTTTGTACCGTGCCTACAAAACATCATGGGGATCGTGCTGTTCATCCGACTTTCCTGGTAAGATTTTCTGTTCAAGATCGACTTCTTGGCCTTGCTCGTTCACGCTAGGCCTCTGCAGAGAAGAGAGCCATTCAAGGGGGTGAAGTTGCTACTTTGATCTTCTGAAGGTTTTACTGGCGCTCATCAAGTGTACGAGGTCCTGCTCTTAAAGTCTCAGTGACAACTGTAGCAGAAACTCCACGGTCGATTGGTTATAAGCCACTCCTGTGGAACATTGAGCAAGCCTCAAAAGAAACCAACACTCCACGAAGGATGCCTGGTTGCCACCCCCTATCAATCCCAATCGGCGTAACTTGTGCACTTGGACCTGAATCTGCTATTTCTTCCCCTGTTGTTCAGGATTGTCGGTATGGCTGGGATTGGTGAAACGCTCCTCTTGACGGCCATGTGCTGCCTCTGCACCTTTATCACGTCTCTCTCTCTTAGTGCCATTGCGACCAACGGTGCGATGAAGGTGAGGCTGCGTTCTTACTTCGCTCCTGCTTATCCTGCCAGCGATTCTCCCGATTCATGATTAAGTTGTCATGAAGAAGCGCTTGTTTCAAAGAATATGGTGCTGTCCCTTCTCGCGGCTGTTCGGAAAACAGAAAAGCTGCACAGTCTCTATACTCGTCTGATCATCATCGATGTTGGTAATCTAATCAAGTCGGGGCCGTTCTCTCTATGGCTTCCTTGAAATCCGCCGTGCTCTTCCTGATTGTGTGAACTGTTCGCCACCAGCGATTTGCAATAGTGGCCAGAGCGGTGGCAAAGCGGATGCTCTTCTTTCGCTCCACGGCAAGAACAAAGCCGTTGTACTGACTGCGTCTGCTTACGTTTGTACAGGGCGGTGGCCCCTACTTTTTGATTGGTCGGGCCCTAGGGCCTGAGGTCGGGGTCAGCATAGGCATCTGCTTCTTCCTGGGGAACGCACTGGCAGCATCGCTGTAAGTTGTCGAACTCGCTGAGTGGCACGCTTCATCGATTCTTTGTGGCCGTGTGATTATGCATCGGCTGCGGGCCGCAATCACCGCTTTAGTTATGCAAAGCCTCTACTGTTCCAATGGAGTAGACAGCCACAAGTCGACGACTCAGAGACGTAACGGCTATCATTGAGGCCTCTGTCTGGTTCCGTATTGATGCACGAAGCCTACACTGAGCATGTTCAATCTTCTGTTACTCACTTCCTTGACTCCTTTCTACAGTTACATCCTGGGAGGCGTCGAAGTCATCCTGGATGCTGTTCCTGGCATACGAATTTTCGGAAGTGAGTTGCCGTTGTCGATTTCCCTCGTATCAACGTTACCTCACGTTTTGTTGCAGCGGTCTTCTTTCCTCTTCGAAGATGTTTCTGCCAAAATCTTGGAGGGGGGGCGCTTTCTGAAGTTCCCGGCACGTACGCTCTGCACGTAGGCAGACGCCTTTTACCCTTCGCACCTTCCTCGGCTTGCACCGACTGATTCTGTCTTCACTTTTGTACAATCGGAACCAATTTGCAATCTCGTTCTGCGACCTGAGGCTCAAAGTTGGCCGGCCGCTATTCAATCTTCCTCAACGGCTACTTCTCCCGCATGAAGCATAGCACCGCTTCTTATCTTCGTTCGCTTTCTGATTCCAGCCAAGTACACCGACCTCAACACGACGACCAGCAGCCAGGCCACCGCCATCGTCACCCGCTCCACGAACCTCCACGACATGCAAATCTACGGCGTCATCATCACGGCGCTTCTCGGCCTGGCCGTTTTCGGGGGGGCAAAAATCATCGCCAGGCTCGGCCCCGGGTTCCTCATCCCGGTCATGGTGTCGCTCCTCTTCATCTATGTCGGGATCATTACCGCACCCAGGGGGCAGATGTCACGTGAGAGCGGGTCTCTAGTCTTTGTTGTCATCCTATTATGACAGTCCATCTGGCGTGTTGGGCGTTTGAGGAAGCAATTGGCACTTCTTGAAGTAGCGTGGTCAAAGATTGACGAGGAATTCGGCTATCCTCCATATTTTCCATATAAAGAAGTCCCTGTACTGCTGGTCCTGTTAGCCTCCTCGGTGCCGAATTTGGGAGGTCCTTTTAGTCCGTCAAACCATATGTTGCACTGGCGAAATACAAACTTGCTTTCGGCAGTTCCCCGAGTTACTACACCCCCTCGACCTGAGCCCAACCGACAAATAAAGAGCAACCTTGTCTCCACGTCCGTATTGAAGAGTTGCTCTTGCCACTAATCCCAACACACATCCGAATCTGAAGGTTCGAGCAACCTTGTGCAAACAGTCGACCATGAATCTATGCACCGACTCCTTCAGATCCCATCTTTTGGAAAGTTTAGAAGAGACCGACTGGCTCCCCGGCTCTGCTCTCTCTGCAGCCGGCATTACGGGGCTGTCGTGGCACAATTTTGCCAGCAACTGGGGCACCAAGTACCAGCGGACGACTGTAAACGGAGTGCCGGATCCAGACGGGAAGGTGACCTGGGCCTTCAGGTGAGATACAACTCCTCAGTTGGCGCGGTTACTTTTTGGAAATCAGCTTGGACATTCATTGAGAGTAATGTGGCCGGTGCAAGGGCACATGGAATTGGTACCAGGCCAATCACGCCGTTGAGCGTGAGAATTGCTCCGTTGAACGACGTTAGTCAGATGTTCATGGGGCTCCTGTTGCTTTGGGTGTAGCAGTAGTCAGATTTTGATGAAGGAACCCGTCGCTTTAGGTTTAGCGGTAGGGAAGTGGGGCGCACCGGTCTAGTATGGGTCTGGCTTATTGTTTGCAGACTTCGCTTCGGGTTCTTCTGTCCTTAATATTCTGCGGCATAGGAAGATTGCATAGGACAGTTGCTACACAGAGGACGCGTACGAAAGCCTGCAACTTATTTGCGCAGCGTTATATTGCAAACGAGAAGCCTGTCTCAATTGACGCAGGTCTAGCCAGCCATCCAAAGAAGCGCCTCCAGATTCTCTCAAACAACGTGTTAAATCCGTTAGGGACACGTTGGGCCTGTTCCAAGTAACTTTTTGGCCGATTTTGACCGTTGTTTTCTGTCTGTAACGTACTGTTGACCATATCCTGTCGCCTTCACCTGACCAGCTTTTCCGATCCAATCTTTCCTTGCCAGGGGCATTCCGGGCCTGTAATCTTCCGCCTTGACCAGCATTTCATACGCGTGTACACCGCTGATCCAACTCTGATCATCATAAATCAATCAGTTTAGCCCTCCAAGTCTAATTGGCCCCTTCCCTCGGTAGGGACATGCTGGAGCTAGTTTTATCAAGCCGTAAGCCACATCCTGCACTTGTTCATATTCATCCAGACCTGCTGACTCAACGCTAATTAACTCTGATGAATAATGTTTAGCTCGATAGCCCCCCCAGCCTAACCTCGACCTCTTCTTTCTGTAGGGACATGCTGGGGCTGTTCTTTCCTGCTGTGACTGGTATCCTGGCCGGTTCCAACCGGTCCTCCGTGCTCAAGGACCCGCAGCGCTCGATTCCCGCCGGGACGCTCAGCGCGCACCTCACGTCCACGATCATTTACTTCGTCAGCATCCTACTGTTCGGAATGGTCGCCACCAGGGACTACCTGCTCGCCGACAGGTGAAGATTTGAAGTTTTGAAGTACTCCTCAGGGTTTTGAAACGTTGGTAGGAACTGTTGCCTCCAAATTGTGGAAGCCTCCAGAGTTGGGGGCTAAATCTCCTCTGTTGACCTGTACTGTGTGGAATTCAAATTTGTGGCCAATGTTGGTTGTCGTGTTATGATCACGCACAAGTCGTCGGCCATGTTGCACTCCGTTATGCAAGCTACTCGTCAGCCCCTCCGCGGTCAAGTCTACCTTATACTCCAAGGTACATCAGCGTCATCGTCCTGTGGCGCGTCGAGTCTGTCTTCGGATAACCATCACTTCTCTACATTAGTCAGCAGCCGCACATGATGTAAACTGAGACCCTAGTTGTAGATCCTCACAATATGTTCCCTAGGTATAATATTCCATCAGCCCTTCCCCGTAGGTACCTCACCGCCGTGGCCCTTCCCTGTCGTCCCGAACATTGTCTCTTCTGTATAACATTGTGAGCAAGTCGCCTCCAAAGACCATTCCTATGCCGGGTATGAAATCTTTTGATGCTTCCCCGTAGGTACCTAAGCGCCACGGTCGCGTGGCCCGTCCCCTCCGTCGTCTCCATCGGC